TTTATTCAGACCACGTGTTAGATTTTTTTTTCCTAACACAACAGAGTGGAAAAGGGAGCAAAAGGACAGGGGGGAAGTTACAAAATATATAACGTACCAAAAAATGGGTAAGTTTAGACAAGTCAGCGGTGACTTCTAGAAGAGTAAGAGGGCACCGTACACTAATTCATGTCCCATTAAGACAACAACGCTGTTGCAAAGCCCAAATCCTGATTAAGTGGCCCTTCCCTCATCCTGCACTCTCGAACCCTACAATTTCCAGGCCCAAATGGAATCAACAAGGCGAAAGCCTAAAAATTGTAGGGTTGCGGGCTGTTCCCCAGGGCGGGATTTGTTCCTGCTCTGCTGTTTCATGCTACATTTTGTTCAAGGGGGTGCACAAACTGGGGGTTGACGTAGGAGAACCCTTCGAAATCCGTTTGGTCTATGTTGGCAATGACCAGCTGATCCGGGGGCGTCAGCACCGGCTGTCCTCGCGTGAAGAACTTATCGAAGTTTTCGGCCCCTTTGCCACACTGCAAGGAAAGAGAAAAACAGGGGAAAGGCTCAAAAAAAGAAAAATATCAGCAATACATTGGTAGTCCCAGCTTTTTGCCAGGCTTTTTCCCTCCTCTGCTTGTGAGTGGTTAAGGGAAAATTTTCTTTTCGGATATGTCAGCAAAAAATGGCAGACAGACGGAGAAGTTTTAAGAGATGAAAAGCAGTCAGAAAGGTTTCCAGCCATCAGCATGAGGTGAGGAGATAAAGAGGCTTAAATGGTCAGAATTACTGGGATATAGAAGGAAAAAGAAAATAGTTTTATGGACAGAAAGAGACACTTTCTCGTTCAAATCATTTAATTCTTCTTAAGACCTTTATGATACATAATTAATTTTTTTTTTTTGTCTTAAGAGACAGTTGTCTGGCAAAGCCCAGCCAAAAATGGGGGCTTATATATAGCTCCAGGCTGAGCACAACTCCTTCAGAAAAGAGACCAAAAGAAATGAGGTTTGCAGGAAGGATAGTTTGGAGGGATGCAGAAAACACTTGGTAGGCAGGGAAGTATGAGCAGAGGCATGTTAAGAAGGATGAAGGTGGTACCAGAACAAAATTAGCTTGTGTGCAAGGAAAAGATGCATATTTGAGGAAAGTTAGGCATTGAATAATGTGGAGATGTCTGAAGGAAACTGCTAAATCTGCTCATCTCAAAACTACTGTAACAGATCTTCAAACAAAGTGTGGTTGCATGATAAAGGCACTGAAGGTTTTTTCCTGCTGCCACTGACCTTTTCCTCCCTTCCTGCAGTATCCCTACAATCACGTGGATTAGAGGGTAACATGACATTATCACTTTCAGAGGATAAATTAGAAAAGGCAGAATAGGGCTCGTACAATAGACCAATATTAAACATTGATTTTTTTTTTCCTGAATGAATGCAACGTGGATTAATCTGTGCATTTAAGGGAGAAGCCAACTGGAAAGGGGCCTGGATTCGGGGGTGAGATGTTTGGCTGTCTTGGAAACAGCCCAGTGAGAGTTTCCAACCTTCTTGCAGAGCACCTGGCAGGTGCTGGATGGGACCTGCCATCTGAGCCCAGCTCAGAACTTCTGCTGCCTCGGGCTCAGGGTGTTTGTATTCCAGGACACAGACACGTGCTCAGGTACTGGAAATCAGAGCTCACAGAGGACACTGCTCCAGCCTTGCAGTGTATCCCCAAATTAAGTCAAATTTATTCAGAGGCACAACAGTCAGCTCAGAGCAGCCACAAAAGGGTTATTTACACAGGGAAGGCTTTTGCTAAAAAGATGATCTACAGATAAGCATCATCCTGCCACAAAATGATGCTCTTTTTCCTTTTTTAAATTTTTTTTCTCTTCTTTTTTCAGCAAGTGGAAAGTGTTCAAACAACTTGCACATTGAAACCAAACTTCCTGACTCCATTAGGCCTCTCACTCTTGCTTGTATTAGTAGAGGCTAAGAAATAAATCATGTGAAATATGGGTATATTTGGGGGGCAAACGCAGTAATTTATCAACAAATTTGCACCTTCAATTACATTTTGGTCCCCACAGTAAAGAGCAGCATTGCTATTGTGAACATTAATGCAGCATTAAAGCAGAACTGCAGAAATTCTAAAACTCCTAAACTCAAAAGTAGAAGTAAAATTGGTCCTTCTTGCCAAATAACCAGCCTATGCCTACAGCCTGTGAAATGTCAGTCTGGAAGGGAACACATTTTTTAAACCAACCAACTGCTGACCCAAAATCTGCAGCTCCACGTTCTGGTAAGAGCCATGCCTGGGTGAGGAGGCAGCAGGATTATTCCTGGAGAAGATGCACCTACAAAGGTTTTCTGAAAAAAAACCCCCACGCCAAACAATGCCTATAAATACATCCCCCATTTCTTCAAACAGATTAAGGGTTGTGTGGTGTTTTTTTTTCGCTTTCTAAACTTAATATCCATCCCTGGAGGGACTGAAATGTATAGATGTGGTGTTTAGGGACATGGTTCAGTGGTGGGCTTGGCAGTGCCAACTCCAGCAGTGGCAACTGTTGGATTTGATGATCTTAAAGGTCTTTTCCAACCTAAACGATCCTATAATTCTATGACACTGATATAAATAGAATCAGCCATCCCCATAAATGAGTTATACATAGGGTATGTAAATACCAGACTTGGATTTTAAATTATTTTTATCTGGGAGAGTTAAGGCTCCACGTGAATCTGCCTTTGGTGTATTTTAAAAGCTGCATAAACAAACCAGGTCAGGATAAGCACAGAGATGGAGAACAGTTGCTCCAAAGAGGAGTCAGGATCTGCCACAAAGTGTGCTGGGATGGAACCAGACCATTCTTCAATGTTTTAGTACCTTCAGCTGGTGATACTTTTAACTTCAAGGAGAGTCTAAGCACTCAGCTCCCGAGCTAATAATAAAAACTTGGAGCTGTGAAGGTAGATTTTGCTCAGCCCCTTTGCTCTGCCAGCTCTGGGGACCAGCTGGGCAGGACTGGCAGCACCACACACGTTCTTCGTTTATTTACACCCTTCCCTGCGTGCAAAATCCCCAAAAAAGGTATTTTCCCCAGCACAAAACACCCTTCTCAGGTGCAACTCTCCTCCTGGTGACATGAAAAAGTAGTTGTGTGAAAAAAGTGAAGAATAATTTTGCCACTGGGTATTGGCATCCCTCTGTTCATTAGTTTGTGGCACCTCACTGGTGTGCCTGTATTAGCAAATAAATCAGTGTACAGACCAATCACCCCACACCTCAAATGCCAGAGCCAGCCAGGCCTCTCAGCTGAAATAAAAAAGGGATAGAGAAGAAAGATTCAATGTTAGGACATAACAATTTACAGCTGTTCCTTAAAGCCTGTATTCTTGTGTGCAAATACTTCCCTTTGCCTGTCAATAAAACAGTATATGCTGAAAGAAATTCTGTCTCAACAAGCCCAGCTCTCCCAGCTCTATTATGCAAACAGCTCTCAGGGTAAGGACATCTTTCCACTTGCTTGGATTTCTAAAATCTTCCTAGGGATACAAGTGTGCAGTCCAGTAACAAACATGAAAGGTAAATCAGGGATTACTCTGCAACCTGAGCCGATGTTGTAGGGTGGGGATACAACTCCCCCCCTCCCTGTGCTGTGCAGCCTGTGGAGGAAATTCAACCCTCTAATTCAGATCCCTTTAATCACTGACTTCAGATGTTGTTCAGAGCAGCCAGCCATGAACCATGTTTATCACCAGGCTCACCACATCAGCCACTGATGTGAACGGGCCAATTTTCAGGCAGTGAGTGACCGTCCAGGCAGGACTCAAACCACGGAGAGACTTTCTTTTTGCAAAGGAACAAAACACACTGGGTTACACCACAAGGTGCCAAATCACGAGCAGACTTCCAGACTGGCCTGCCACAATGGAATTGCCTCATTTTTGTCCCAGACCTGCAGCACCAGCCGGGCAGCATTAATGTCACCCCACGGGGAGAGCAGCACACGGAGCCAGGGAAGGACTTGGCATCTCACTCACCACTTTAGGTTTGAAAGGTGGCTGAATCTCTCTGTTTTCCAATTTTTCCCAGTCAATCCTCCTGAAGAAAGCGTGTTCCCTGATGTCTCTCTCACCTTCAAGGCCACAGCCAAGGCGTTTTGCAGGATGTTTAGTCATTAGCTGTCGGGGAGAAAACAGCAAATGATTCAATTTAACGCTGGGATGAAAGCAAGACAGACTTTCCCCCGGTTGTGATGCTCTTGCTCCTCTCCTGAAGAGACACATTGCTAATAAAATTGTTTTGAAAAGGTAAAATTCATTTTCTGAAGATGAATTTTCCTGTTTGTTCCCTGAAGACAACACATCAGCAACAAAACTAGGGGCTGCACAGGAGAACTTTTCCCCACTTGGCACTGGTTGCCACCAGAGGTGCAGGTGATGCCCAGGACGTGCTGTCAGCCCCCAACTCCTGAATTTCACCTTCAGTCTTTCAGTCTTATAAATCTCCAGAACAGCTTCTGCCTTATCTCAACAATCAATTAAACATAATAAATTCCAATACACTAAAGCTGAATGAAGAACAACCTCCCACTCCCATTTCATTTCTCTGGGCTTGTTCAAGACATCTCATTACAGGGCCTCCAATTTCTTGGCACCCAGCTGACAGCATCTAATCTGTGTTCCCTCCCTTGCATTCTTAATGACATCCTGGTCAATACTATACCCAGTTGCAGAGATTAAGGAGACTTAGGGAAAAGAAACAACCCCAAACCCACCAGCGTGGCGTGCTCAGAAACTGTAATGTGCTCCCTAATTAACAAGCTTCAACTGGTGTGTACATTAGGAATTGTGCAATGTAGCCTTCAACTCTCAGTTTCATTATGGTGGGGACGTTTTAAAGCTGTGCTACAAATTCTATGTGATTAATGTGCTGCTGGGAGTGATACCTCCACACATCTTTTTAAAAGCTCAGCTGTACTGCTCCAGTCTCCTTCCAAATGTTGAGTTGATCTGATTCCAATTTTAAACCTAAAATAAAAGTGACTCTAAGCAGATTTGGGAAGGGGTTGTGCACTGGGCTGGAATCACAGCCTTCTTCAAGCCTAACAGCAACTTTCCCATTTTTGCTACATTTCCCAAACCCCTTCCTTTAACAGTAGGTGACAAAAGAAAATGTGAGCATTGATTCTGGTAGTTTTAATTCTTTCCAAAGTTCCTGCATTTACCAAGCCCAACGAGCTCTGAACCAGTGGAATGGATGTCAAGCAGATAAATCAATTCCAAGAGCACAGTAGGCATGTTTGTCTTGCCCACTGGTGCCCAGTCCTGGGATTGCTGAGCTCCCACTGACTGCAAAGCTCAGAAGCTTTCTCATATTGACTTCTTAGCTCAGGAATAATGCTCACTGAAACCTGGGATTATTTTGTCAGTTCAATAGAGGGGATGAACACATCAGTGTCACAGAGACTTGGCCTTAAGCCTCGTGCCAAAGGGCAGTTTTTTGCTTTCTGCCCTCCCTGGGTGTGAACACCCGGAACAGCAGCAAGAAGGGGAGCTGAAAATGGGGCAACTACATCAAATTCAGACTCTGCTGTTTGAAAATGTGATTGTCACAAGGCAATAAATCTGCGTGTACTTTACAAAAATATATCATGTTTATTCTTTGCTACCCAGCATGTCTACACTGGGATAAGCTCCAAAATTAGCTTGGTCTTTCCTTTTACCTTGTTGCTCTGAACACCTTTACTCTTCTGTGAGGATTTTCCTTAAGGAATTAATATCCAGCTCATGTTTAATACCTCCTAAATGGTTGCAGAGGATGGGAAGAAAGTAAATACCAAATTAACTGATACTAAATGCAGTGGTATTTTATCAGTGTAAATCAGACCTCAAATAATGATTACAAAGAGTGGGTTGGAAAAGCTGCAGATTGATGGTTCTCTGGAGAATCACATGGAGTCAAAGGAAAGTCAAACAAATTGTTTTTTTTCTTGAGATAATTCCCTGAAGTCAAATCTATTCTTTTCCTCAAAATTTGCAATCTAAGGCCAATTTTAGGCCACACAAGTCACCACTGGGTCAGGATTTTCCCCACGGTTTCCTCGCTTTTATGCTAAAGATTTTCACATAAGCTCATCTTTACCTACATTTAAAAATGAGTCTTAGTAACTCTTTTGCTCTGCTCCTGTCATTAGGCATTCTGGGCTGAGGACTCTCTGGAGGATCTGGTATCCAGCCAAGCTGAGAAATCTTCTCACCCTGCAAAAAATTGGGGGCTGTGCTGCCGTGGGTCGAGAGGCAGAGCGGGTGGAGACGCTTCGCACCATCATCCTGTTTATAAATTCTGCTTTGGGGTTGGCAGCTACTGATTGTGCCATTTGTTCTTGCCATCAAACAAGCAGGAACAGCGGGAAGAGCTGAACCCTTATCGGTGACACTAAGTGACAGTACAGCTGAGCCCTGCCTGACAGAAGTTGCCTTCAAAAATGCTACAGTGCCATGTCAAGGCCAGACAAACCCAGCTATTCACAAGGATTGCCAAAAAAGGAACTTAATGGCAAAGAAGCATTTATCTCACCCCCTTGCAGATGGAGACAGCTTCTTTGGACAGTGATTTTGGATAGGACACGTTGTGCTCCATTATGGACTGGAAAAGTTCGTCCTCGTCTTCCCCATCAAATGGAGGCTGTTGAAAAAAAACCACAGGTGAGTTCCTTACTGGGATTTGCTTTTTTTTTTTTTTAAAAAAATTCTCCACTTTTTATGAAATGGCATGAAAATGCTATGCCCAAAGAGATCAGTACACAGCAGTGGTCCTTTGTCCAGGAGCACACATCAAACTCCAAGCCATCTGCATCCTGGCTATCTTCTGACCCAGATGTTTACTGTTCATCAGTCTCAGGCTGAAATCCAGGATAAACATTCATTTCTGCCCCCACAGGTTAATGAAACGTGTGCAGGACTATCTTCATGATCAGCTTTAATCAGTTTTTAAAGCTACTGTGCACCAGGCAGGCAAAATGCTCTAAAGGGTGAAGGTTGGAGACTGAACTCTCAATTACCCTGTGCTAAGGTATATCCATTCCTCACTTAACTCCAGTTACATTCCAGTTTGTTTTATGTCATGGCTGTAGACTCTGCTTCTGCTTCTATCACAAGAAGGGCTGCATTATATTTTAAAGTAGAGGTGACAGGGTGCCCACGGGTGAGTCCCCAGGATATGGGCACCCTGCAAGAGCCAGCTAATGGTAAATCTCATTTCCTCCAAAGCATTCAGATGCCCAGTATTTACAGTGCAGCCTGTAAAGTATTAACATCTGCAACTGCCACACATTAAAACTTTTAAAATGCCACTAGAATTTAGTAGAGAAACCATTAAAGGCATTAGTTAAAAATGTCTGTTTTAAGCTCAGGAAACGCCTGCCTTTAGCTTAACCCTCACTGAAAGCCAATTGCAGAAATCTTTTCCAACTCAAGACTAATAGAATTCCTTAGTGTTGGTCCTTATCTGCCATTTACTGCAGTGAAGTGTTGCTTTCCTACCCCAGTGACTCAGAGAGCAGCCTGTCATTAACTGTGCGTGATGAGGGGTCTGTAAGTGAGCACATTTCCAAGAGGCCAGACCCACACTTTACCCCCAGGACATGCAACACAAAAACGGTACTCCTGGGATTTAACTGCAATGCAGAGCAGAGACACACTCTTATTATGCTTCCCTGTGGTTTCAAACTACTAAATGATATTTCTTCCACTTGACATGCATTTTCCTGCTCAAGTGTCTCCCTTTCAATTCTGGAGATGGCTATTTATAACATTATTGCAGTACAAAGGAGCCCTGTTCAAAGGCAGGGCTTGATTATGTGGGTACAAAATAAAGAGCTTAAAGCCTAAATACACTCTCAGTTGAGTCAGTCATGAGTACAAGGAGATAACAGCAGTGTGAAAGGCTTCAGTCTTATCCTCTAATGGTCTAACCCTTTAGGGAGCCTTGAAACAAGAGCAGCCTTGGAGGGGCAGGAGGAGGTCACAGTGAGCAGGGGAGGGTAAATCTTACCTGTCCAGCCAGCATCTCATAGAGCAGCACACCATAGGCCCACCAATCCACTGACTTCCCATAGGGCTGGTAAGCAATAATCTGTATAAAAAAAAAAAACAACAAAACACCCCAAATAAAACCAAAAACACAAAGAAAAAACCTCTGTGTTAACTAACCCCCAGTCCTGTGGCACATTAGATAAATAGTGACATGCAGAGAAGAACATATTTCCTTGAAAAAGGACAGCAAGCCAATCCTGTAATCCTCACTCCAGCTAATCACTGGTTTCAGTGGGAGTTGGATTGTTTTGCAAATGTTAGTCTAAACCCACCCTGATATCTTGGCAAATGTGGCCCTCAGGAGTCCTTGGGATGTGCATTTGAGGGCAAAAGAGGAAGCACAGCAGCACGATGTACTAGACAAGGCAAAAATGTCATCCATCCATGTGTGTCATAGTGTGAAATCAAGAGAATCACTTAACTTATGGATTATCAATAATTAAGCCCTTCCTTCAATATTTATATTTTTGTTCTGCTGTAAAAGGAATCAAAATTTAGGAAAAGAGGAGTTTGGGGGTGCAGATGTCCTCTCAAATCTCCTTTTAAGTAAGTGTGAAGGGATATTGTGAATTGTGGAGGGATGCAGGATGTCCCAGCCACGGTCCATCCCCACCAGGGAAGGCAGCAGTGGAGAGTTTGACCCTCCACCACCAGAATAAGCAGGGAACTGAGGGGCTTGCATTTATTTTCCTGTGTGCATGTGGTTTTATTCTTTTTGAAACAAATTGCTGAGCCCAGTACACATCACACATCCTAAATTTTTTACTTGTCTGAAAGAGGAGTTGAACTGGCAAGTTCTGTAGTTTCTCAGGAAAATAGTGAGTCACCAGTGCAATAAAGCAGCCCTGCCTGGCTCCTATATAAAATTATAGTCTCTGTGTGAATATATGTTCTTCCCTGAGATACAGCAGCACATGAATTAAAAATTACTGCAATGTTTCTAACCAAAAGATCTCAAAATCAATCGTACTTCGGAATGTATTAGACAATCAGAGGCAATAACAAGATTCTCATCTGGAAGGTCCTACAGAAAGGCAAATCTATATTAATCGTCTCTTAGTGGTAAATACAGGCTTAAAAATATATATTTGGGACATTCATTTCATACTGTATTAGTTGACACACTTGGTTACTCTGCCTTTCATTTCTACCACCAGTAAGTTCCCAGAGGCTCACTGGAATCAGTGTTGCCTCTTGGAAGACCAAACACTGTCAAACTTTTATCCAGGAAAAACACTGGCCTTTTACACACAGAAAATGTTATATCATTTCATCTTCAATCCTTCTCTGACAATCTCTCCTTGCCTTATGGAAAAGAGCATTTTATATTAAAAAAAAAAAAAAAAGAGGTATTTCTCAGGTCATTAATTCATAAGGGCAGAACATTTTGTACAAGTGTGCTCCATGTAAGTGGTTTTGGGAGGAACAGTTTATTTCAATTAGCAAATGAGACAAAAAAAAAAAAAAATGGATCCACAGCAGTGAGAAAGAAAATGCTGCTACCCTGCCAAGGTTCTGTACCTGGCAGCCAGGTCTGTCCAGGAGCCCACAGCCCACTCCTTCTCCTATTGTAGAGGAGTTGGATGGGTTTATTGAGGGGAGGAAATGGTTGAAATTAAGCAAAGCAGAGTCATCCAGTGAGAGATGAACCAAAGCACCGACCCAGTGACGCTGGATGTTTACACAGCAAGAGGTGAGTCAAGGCTGGGCTGTTCCCTAAATAGCATTTCCATCAGCAAATGCAACCTGCCCCAGTGAGATCTGCCTTTGGGAGAGAGGAGCTGGCAGGATCATCAAGAGAGGCAGAATTAACACGAGAAAAGCTCCTGCATTAAACCTAAAGTAGGGTCAGAATCACTGCAGTGTTTGTGCTGTTTGATGCCACGTGTCAACATCTGACAAGCAAAGCAGTGCCCTCTGAGCTGGCAATGCCTCCCTTACCTGGACCAGTGATGGGAGGGGGGAACTGAGACATAAACACTGGAAAGGAGCCACTGCAACTGCAACAAAACCACTTTTTTCATTGAACCCGTGGCCAGGGAGGAAAAGGTGGCCCTGCCAAACCTGCTGCTGGACACTGGAAGATTTTTTCCATTAATCCTAATTAAATACACCCAAACTGAATGACCAGCTTAATCCTTGGAAGGCTGTGGCACCAGGGAAGGAAGCAAAGCAATCTGCCACGTTCATTCACCAACCTGTGGTTATCCTCATCCCACTGGGAGCTATTCCCAGCATTAATTGGAAGTGCAAACGAGAGGAAAGAACGCTCACTTCAAGGAAGGAATGACATGTGGGAGGAAGCAGATGAGCTTTCAATGTACAGTCAAACATGCACTGGTACAAAGTCAGCAAGTTCTAAATGTTGTATTTTCAGTAGTTCCCTCCTCCTCATCCAGAATTCATCATGTATTACCTACCAGCTGCTGCACTCAGAGCCATCCCTCCCTCCCTTGCAGCAGCTGCCAAAATAATTCAATCTGCATGGACACATTTTTGGTACCTTTTAGAGCAAATTGGGGTATATTAACATGACCTCCTGTCTCACCACACTGTGCAGAGCAGACCCACAGAGCAGTGAGGGAGTTCCTGTGCCTGGAAATGAGACCTGTCCCCTCCTCCAGCTAAGATCTCTGCTTTTCACTGGCCAGGGAGGAGTGGAAAGCTGGTAGGACCCTTCCCCCCCAGCTCCTTCTCCATCATTAATTTAAATTACTGCCTTTTTCATCTCCTCTTCCATTTCAAATGCCCCATTTTAACTATCTATTGCTGTATTTTAAGAGCTCTGCCTTTCCAGGTTCTGTGGATCTGAGTGCTCAGGAAGAGCTCAGAAATTTCTCTCATCAAGCAAAATTGGCAGGAGAATGTTGCTTTTTTTTATTTTTTTTCTTTCTTTTTTCCCATTTTGCCTCCAAGGAAGGCACAGTTAAGAGCAGGACACAGAGATTAATACCAGCAATTTGTAGGAATGTTTAGATCATTGCAGCTTGCAGCTAGTAGCCAGTTGGGATGAAAAGATTATATCCCAGAGGCAAGAGAAAATCTTTTGTGAACACATCTGATGTCTGCAGAAAAAGCTAAAACTCAGTTATTAAAAGAAATAAATATTACTGGCATGGGAAACAGTCAAACACACACTTTCCAAACCTCTGTAACATCTATTTGCCTCCCACAACCCTGGCAAATGCAAGGTTACAACTGAAGGTTTTGAAGCTGTTGGATGGAGGAGAAGGGAAATGGAGTTTCTAATTTAAATTCCTCTGCAATTCAAAACTCATCACTCTGGCTGCTGCAGGGATGCTGATGGTGGGGTTCTGTGCTGGCAGAATCCCTTCCCACTAATCCTCTTGACATCCATCTCCTCCTGTCTCTCTTGACTGGTCAAGGAAACACCAAGTACTAATTGATTTCACAGCTATTTCACCACTCTGACCATAAATATTTGGGTTCAGCACATCAAGAAATATTCTGTACAAGATAACCACTTTCTGCCTGACAGAAGCTGTCGGGCCTGGGATCCCACCAGTTTAACCTCTGCATGTTCCTTAATGTGCATGGGATAAGAAAATGAATATTAATTCCAGTCTGTTATACAGCTAAGTCATAACAAATGGTGACTTTCCCAACCATAAAAAGGGGAAACATCATTTTAGAGTACACCAAGCTGTGCAAAGTCTCTTTGCTGAATGGAGCACTTTATTTTCCATCCAGAGATGGGACGTGTGACACCAGCTGAGGCGTCCCTGAACTATGTGTGGGTAGTCCATGGAGGGGGAGTGTGGGGCTCCTCCAGACCCTGTTATTGTCACACCATTATTTCCCAAATGCTGATGGAAAGAGTTAATTCTCTGTGTGTGAGTGCAACCCACTCACAGGACTCTCCTCCAGGATACCTTCTACGGTTTGTTTAGATTTAGCTCATTTATCTGCACCCAGCAGGGAATGGGATCGTGCACATGCATCCTCATTAAAATCTATTATAAATTGATAAATTTTAGCCCATGGAAACGTGTTGAAACACCCCTGCAAGCAAAACATGAACCTTCCTTTGAAGTTTACCACAGACCTAGTTAGCAATCTGTCAGTCACAATAATATCTTCAGAAACAAAAGAGAATCAGTCAATTCAATAAAATAAAATCAAATCTGTTTGTAAGATGAGAGAAAGACTAATTTCCTCCCAATGACTGGATGTTTTGGTAAAAGGTTTATTTCTTTACATGCAATTTCCAAATAAAATAAAGTAATTCACTCCAGCACTGACTCATATTGAGCATTTTGGTGTTGACAAAACGTTCTTTGGTATTAACTGGCACAAGACAATTGCCACAGAAAGGACACTCTAATGTGGTATATTGGGTTCATTTACGTTTTGACAGAAGAAAATGAAATATTCTGGTTGTTCTGATATCCTGCTGCGAGCACCAGCAAATGGTGAAAAAACAAGGCTTTATAATAACCAATATTTCACTCTGGAAAGCATGAATTAGCAACCGGGAAAAAAAACAAACTAGTTTTCATTCCAATTTCACAGGGATGACAAAATTCACCTTAGACACTAATTTACTTGTCCATGTATAAATCTCCCTTATTCCAACAAACATTCAATTGCAGCCAGAAATGTTCCAGCCAGAGCTGCCTCTTGCTCAGTACTCACTGAACAACTGAGCATCTTGGATCAGGATCCAGCCTCTTGCATCAAATTTGCTGCCAAACAAATCAAGACTCCTGAAAGCCCAGTATGCACAAATACCAGATTTTAATATTCATATACTTGAATTATATCCAAATCACCACATGGGCTTGTTTTTAATGTTTTATACCTAAAGTATTGAAATACAAATCATAGCCAGACTAAAAATCTTAACTCTAAACTCGTGTTTAGCACAGGTTTCAAAGCACAACTGTGCTCCTCATGATCAGATTTTCGTTTTAGACCCACTGCAGTTGGTTCGTGCTTGAACGTCCTTTTTTCAGTGGCTCAAACGCAGCACAGGTATTCCCAAATCACGGAAAACTCAAGGCAAATTATGGATCTGTTATGTCAACTCCATTCAAGCCCTGATCTTACAGCTTTGGTCAGGCTTTCAGTGCCAGGAGCTGGCCTGAGGTGAAGAGCAGCAGCTCCTGACCCCACTTGGCTTGGGAAAGGCTGCAGCAGTTTTACAGAGAGGTCAGTGAGAGGCTTCAAGACCCTCAGGAGTCCCTTCCCAAAACTCCCCGAGTGGTTTGTGATTTCCTGAAAATGCCAAACAGTGCTTTAGGTAAATGTATTTTGGCAGCTGTCAGAACCTGTGGAGAAATACCTTAAAGAAGCAACGTTTGCCCCCAGTGAAGGATTTGATGACCTCAGCAACAACCTCAGCATCACCCATGAAGTTTCTGTGACTTATAAATTGCAAAGTTTAGTTTAATAACGTTTCCAGCCTACAAATTTAAAATCACAAGGTGCTGAGCCTGTCTGTTTTTTAGTCTTCTGCTAGTCTGAACAAAATTTGAAGCACTGATCTCATAAAAAGTGTTTCAATCAACCAGATTGTTAGAACAGCCAAGTCTTACTGACAATATTGCAGCAACCCATAAAGATATTCAGTATACCTGCAGAAGTATAATGGTACCATCCACAGAAAATCCAGAGTTCCAGCTATCCAAACCCGTGGTGTACAATTTGTGTAGGGACAATCTGCATTTGAGAGACTAAAAGGTTCTTGAAATGGTCAATATTTACCTCTGGTGCAATGTAGTCTGGAGTGCCACAGAAGGTCCTGGTTGTTACTCCATCTAACATATGCTCTTTGCACATTCCAAAATCAGCAATTTTAATGTGTCCTTCCGAATCCAGCATCACATTATCTAATTTCAGATCTCTGTGAAGAATCACAGTAATTTAATGTTAATGTTTAGGATCAACAAGAATCAGAAAGCTCAGGTGAAACCAGGGCTTTGGTTTCCTCCTCACCAGCACCAACACAACAAAAAGAGCCCTACACTGATGGCTTTTTATAAAGTGTTTTAAAAATACACTGGAATTTTAAAGCAACTGATTCATTCAGGTTTTCAAAAATAGTACAGAATTACTTATGTCAGATTATACTCACCTATAAATAATCCCTCTGTTGTGGAGAAAGAATAACCCAATGGAGATCTCAGCTGCATAGAACCTGTGTGGGAAAAAAAAATCAACATATTCCTTACTGCCTCATGATTCCCTTCTGACAAAATCATTTGGATATGCATCATGGTAAAGAATGACAGCATTATAGCTTATGAAATATATAATTTAGAGTGTGTATATATGTAAAAGTAAAAAAATATACCATAAAAGACATCTCACTTACACTGGACCTTAACAGACACATTTTGAGTATTTGATGATAAAATAATGCAGAATTTTAAAAAAAATCCTCTTGAAAATGTCTCCCTAGACCACAAAAAATGGTGTAGCTGGAACACAGCTTTTTTTTTTTTTTTTTTGCACCAATCTAACTCTGCTGCAAAGATCCTTATCTCTAATCACATATTGATGAATTCAGGATGCAGCTCAATGTACATTGCAATTCACATGGCACGAAATAATTTGCAGAAATAGTATTCCTTTACACAGGCTGTTAATGGATTAATTACATGAAGCTAATTAAAATGATTACCATATAAAATATAATTGCTGAATGTAGTTAAAAGATATATAATATTGATGGCTGTTAGAAGCTGGTTGCTGTGGAAATTGTATGCAAGAGGATTATTTAAAGATGAGATTAATTTTTAGGCTTAGCACAAGGGAGAGGAAGGCTGAGCCCTGCAACACTTGATCAGAGGTGTTTGTGAACACGTGTGCTGAAGATGCTGCTCAGGCAGAAGCTGTCACAAAGCACCACAGATTTTGTTAAGTGTTGGCAAGTTACATTAGCTGGGAGTCAAAGATGATCTGACACCATCCAGCTTTTCTTCAGTGAGTTGTTAAGATATTTTTCTGTATCTGAAATACTTATATTTAGAAGGCCTCTCATTTAAACGAGCCCTGGTTGCTTAAATCAAAACGAGAAGTTATTTTAACTGAATTCTTAAAACAGTTGGTCACCCTTGATTTTAAAGTTTCATTGGTAAATGATTCAAGGAACACTAAAGAGTGACGAGGAGATGTTATAAGCATGACTAACATGGTACTGCTGGGTCTATCCACACTTGAATGTGCTACAGATCATTATTAGTTGCTCACTGATGTGCCAGATGTACAATTACCCAAAAAGGATCATGTACATAAACAACTTCTAATCATTTATTAACTCCTTGCAAATACATCACAGAAATTCTTATAAGACATACATTGAATTTATCTTGTGCTGCCTTTCCTTATGACACTAATTCAGACTGAAATGTTCTACTCACCTTTTTATTAATATTTGCTTTTAAAAAACAACACCAGAATACCAAATAACAGCTTTAATTTCCTGCTGCCTTGCTTAAATTCTTGTCACTTTTCAAGTAGGCATCGTGTGCCTTTGTTTGTGCTCTATTTTTGAATGAATAAAGGCACAGCTACCTTTGTTCTACGTGTACAAACATTTTTAACATTAACTTCAGCTTTTGGGCCCCCAAAACACCATCAAAGTAGGCCAGCCTAGACTTCATACCGAGCCTGGGAAGAGGAAGAAACCAAATCCTCTTCAGAGTATAAAATAATGATGATGACGTGACTTAAATATACAAATGTGAACACTCACACTGCTTGTGGCTCCTTAAATTTTCCTACTTGCTGGATGTGATACATGAGATCCCCACCATTCACATACTCCATCACAAAATACAGCCGGTCCTGGGACACACACGCAGAAATACATTAGAGGAAATATATTAGATATTCATTGATCAACCAAAAAAAAAAAAAAAAGAAAAAAGAGTCACTGGTATGTTATTATAAAGCTTTTAGGATTATTAGGACTGGTTGTACATTGTGGCAAAATCGATAGGTCAGGAAATGGAAGTGGAATGTTTTGTAAAACCTGCAGGAGTCAATGACTGAGGAGATCTGACAAGAGTTGTCAGTTTTAGTGGGGCACTTTCACGTATTATTTGTCTACAACGGTCCCAAGAATTATACAAAGATAGCTGTGTCTGAAATATCGGTCCCTAAAAACAAACAAACAAACAAACAAAATTAAAGGCGGTAGAAAATTCCTGCTCTGAGGCCATTCTTGAACCTTCCTAATAAGTTTTCCTTTGGAAGACGGGACGTATTAAAAAATATAGATTTTTTTTTAATTATTATTAAAAAGAGGCAAAGGTGATGGTTTCTTGTGATTGTGTCTGCAAATTGGTTGCATTGAGGCCATTTTCTGCTCAGAGGTTTGTACACATGAAGCAGAGTCTGAAAGTGCCTTTATCACCACGGACAACTGTGCTGTGAAAGCTGAGGGGATGACGTGGCTTCTTTCACAGAATCCCAGAATCATTTAGGTTGGGAAATACCTCAGATCCTTAAAAGTATTTAGGAACCTTTGGGAACGTGGGCTTAAGGCTCTGACTTAGAAAGCACACAGGATGAAATTTAGGAATTGTCACCCTGGTCTGCTGGAATGACTCAGAAAACCTTCAAACCTGGTTTTTGTATTTCAAGTACAAGGGGTAATTACATGTGGTGTTTCTTCACTGTTTTCTATGCTATGGTGTATAGTTTGGATGATAATAAATGTTAGTGAAGTGGTAAAATCCATGATCTTTTAGTCTGGAAAACACAGGGTGGCAAGAGAGAGCTCACGTACAACTGTCTGGAAACAGGAGTGGAGCTGTGTCAGGAATGGAGGTTTATCCTGCAGTGCCAGGACTCGTTTCTCAACCATTGTACATTCAACATCATCATCCTGGATCACCACATCTTTCTTCAGTATTTTGATTGCATAGAGCTCCTCCGTGCCCTTCCTGTCTGCCAACATCACCTGCACCGAGAGAAACACCGGGGTCAGAACCCTCCAAGCCAAGCCCCCTCACGTGCCCCAAGATTTGCAGAGGTGGCAATCCAGCTTTTCCTTTTATTGGTATGGCCTAATCTGATCAAACTTCCAAAATTATGATCATTACTCACCCACTGCAATGAGCTGTGCCATCGTTTCAGGCACAGCCTGTGCCAAACCCCTCTGGCTGATCACAGGCACGTTGCTGCAGGGCTGAGAAAATGTTAAGTCCCAGGGGGCTTCTTCAGTAAAGGGCACTTTATCACAGAAGTGGTGTTCAAACAGAGAGAAAAATAGCAGCCTGTTCCTTCAACTAATGGATTTCAAATATATACACATACTATTCCTGGGTTTTTCCCCAATGTTCAGCCTTACCAATGTTGGTGACTTCCAGAACTGGCACAGTGACCTGGGTAGTAAAACCAGAAAAGGAAACTTGATTTCCTTGAACCTAAAAGTCAGCAACTGTTTCTCCCATCTTGCCCAACAGCCTGAGTTTTATAATATATTTTTATTTTTTTTCAAGAAAATTGTCAATCAGGACTGAAGCCCTCTGGTCCTTGGGGAACCACCAGGCTCCCTGTTAAGAAATCCTCCCTCAAAAATGCACTTCCTTTTCACTCTGGGTTTTGCTTCTCAGGGAATTATTCATTCATTCCTCCTCAAGGGGAAAAAAAATGGGAGTGGAATAATTTTAAAGAATTCCTACCTTCCCAAAGCTCCCCTTTCCAAGAACCATGAGGAAGTTGAAGTCTGTCAGCTTGACCCTGTCCAGATTGTTGGATGGCACACTTGAGCTCTTGTCTTCTGTTGAAGTAATGACTTTGTTACCAGCTGGCCCAAGTTTGGCTTTCTGAAGAACACACACACACAACATACACACACAAAAACAGGGAATAAGAAGAACAGTTGCCCGTTTTCCTGGCGGGAGGGATCGCTGGGTGGAGGTTGGAATTGGAGAGGGCCAGGTCTGAGGTGGCATTCCCAGGAGAGAGGCTGCATAACAGACCCATTCCAACAATACTTTTGGCATTATTGGGGGGGGGGGGGTAAAGTGGAAAACTGCTCATGTGTAACCAGATAAAACAGATAATCTGGTTAAATGAGCAAAACCAAAGCAAAGCTCAAACACAAAGGAAAAAGAGATCACTTATTTTCATGCCAAAAGCAGCCCATCTGGTGCTTTTGTTTTAAAATACAAATTTAAATAAAATATTAATAATAATAATAATAAAAAAAGCTTTCCAAAAATACCATGCTGTAGTCTACACAGGGTATTTTAGGACTTAAACGATCTCTTCAATACATTCTCTTTTAAAATGTAACTCTTCAAGTCACTGCATAGCAAGAGTTAGGAAAATTTTGACATGCATTTAAGAAAAATAACCTACATTAAAAATAACACAATGCATGAGAATTAATGCAGATGAACATGGCCACTTTCAAACCAGCAATACAATCAACTTTGATTTTCAATCAAGGGTTGATCTGGAAAAGGGAGGAAAGGGAATGTTACATACAAGGGCTCTGCCTTGCCCAGTCTGGTTCACAAAAGGTTGAAACAGTCTCAGTATTTCACATAAGACACCATGTAATTGCTCAGGTTGCATTTCAAATCTCAAAGTTAATAGAAGAGAAAAAAAGTAAGACTCACCAAAAGATAAAGCAGGCTAAAAGATAATATCCTTTTTTTCCTCAAAATAATCCCATATACCAGCAGAAGCAAAGCCAAGAAGGTTTAATAATGCTTCGGGATTTAAGTGCTTTCCCCATCTGTCTGGCTGTTGGTCTGGTTAATAACCTCTAATAGGGTTAATTTACTCTGTGCCACTGATGTGTGTTTGGTATTTCAGGGTAACTACTTTTCTCACTGCGCTGCAAAAGGACAGTATCTGTATAGTATCACCGGTTCACAGATAAAGAAAATTACAGAAATTAAACTTTATTCAAAGCCACACAATATATCACTCTAAAAGCCTGGCCTGGCTGACACCTTTGGCAGGTGGAAAGTGGAGTTACAAACTTTGCCCTCCCCAGACAAGTTTAAAACCATAATATTGAAAGGGATGACTCGATTCATGGACTCCAGCTCTCCACTCCTGCAGGCAGTGATGTCAAGTAATCACCTGACAGAGCAACCACGTGTCACTTGGAAACCATAAACCATAATCAGCTTGGATAACTCTTCCTGCAACTTTATGAGTGCAGAAAATCTTACGCCCTGCTACAGGAACACAAATTTTGGAAGTTCAGATCTCTTTATTAAAACATTTGTATTACAGCTTAGAACGTGGATTTTTCTTTTTTTTTCTTCCCACCAATGTTATTATTTGTTTGCATGGAAGCAGCACTTGGAGGTGCTGACCAGGATAACGTGCTGTGCAAATGTTCAGGAAGAGCCAGCCCTGGGTGTCAGCCTAAATCTCTGAGTCTGCAAGGGATGATGCCACGGAAATCCAGCTGCTGGGACAAATCCAGTGTGTGTGATGGAGCACTTTGGCAGGACACAACTCCTTTCCAGGCCACAAGACAAGACTGAGCCATAAGCAAAACAAGGATTAAAAAAAAAAAAAGAAAAATCCCAATATCCTTTCTTTGTACAAGATGAAGACATGGTTCAAAGGAGCAGCTCTGCTGGCCATGTCTTTGTGATGCTCTGGCATAGGGGATCTCAGATAAAGATCTTGCTTTTGTCATGCACAAAGCAATTTCAATATCCGCCTTTCCACCGGGTACCGCAGATCCAAATCAGGCCCTCAGTGGACAACACCAGCTTTCTGTCTTGTACTTTAAACCCACCGGGCAGGTTGTTGGCAGCTTGTTTGAAAAACACAGAATTTGAAACAACAAATAGTTTTGTTCCAAGGCCATTTGCTTTTTTTGGGTACCAACCCTCCATGCAGGCAGGCAGGGAGTGCTCTCTGCAGCGCTGCAATCCCAGGCACCACGAGTTTCCAGCACATTTTCCAAAGGGGAAGCGTGGCAGGTTCACCATGGCAGGCTCCTGTGCCTGCTGCTGGCTCCAGAGCTGCAGGCACTGCACTCCCTTGGGTGGGATGGACTTGTCAGGATCTGAAGGCAGGATCTTAAAATAATATCCAAGAACCCAGCCAAGGCCTCTCTGTATCTTTGCAAGGGCAGCACCTGAGATTCGATGAGCAACAGAGACGTGCTCCTCTCACTTCCATTTTTAATCCTCTTTTTAAATTAGATGTCACCCTCAATTTGACAATTTCTTTCTCCATCTGGTGGATTTTTGAGGAGAACACGGGGTTCCTCCTGTTTGGCCAGGTGGGCTCCGTGCTACCTGGTCCAGGTAGAAGGTCAGCACAGGCAGGAGCTCCTGGACTGTGCTGAGCTGTGAGTGACCTGTGCCCATGGGAGGGAGATGATCCTGCTTTTCACACTGCACAAGCACTATGGAGTGTAAAGAGAGAATCCTGCTGCAACCCATGTGTAAGGAAACACAAGAACATGGAATTCCATGGAATGCTGGAGAACAACCAGGCATTGAAAGCACCCGCCCCAAAGTGGGACGGCCTAATTAAATGACCTTATTAAATGATCTTATCCTTATCAAAGGTCCTTATTCCCCTTCAGCTCGGCCACCAACCAGTTGTTTACGAGCGTGCAAAATAGTTTTTCACGTTTAGAATATGAATTCCTTTTACTGCTTTTTGGCTTGAGGTCCTACTGAAAACACAGTAGGAATTTCCACACTTTTCACCCTGAGCTTTGTATCTGAAACACCTCGACTACTGCAGAGGGAAAATGCCATGCAGCCAACACACTCTGCCAGAGCAAAATCAGTTTTGCAGCTACAGAAGGGACATAAACTCAAATGATTCATAAAAGCCTGCTGGAAAAGAGCAGTGATATTTTGCCTTTCCTACCATGACTAAAATTGAAAATCGCAGAATCCTACTTCAATCCCCCCCCTTACTTTTTATGGATATTAAAACTTGCTGAAGTTGAAGATGGCATCTCAGGCCCTGGATTAATTTTCAGTTTACATTCCAACTGCTTGGCTTATTATTATCTCGGACAAAACCACAATATTGTTACAATGAAGCCAGCTTGCAGCAAACCAACCAGGAGAACAGAATGTTAAAGAGAAATTAGTCTGCACTGGGAGCAGAGAAGTTAATCTGAAAAGAAAACAAGACATGCACATCATCTTACTTCCTCTGGTTTGGACGCACCTTATCTCGGCCAGTTCTTTTACCCTGAAACCACAGGTGAGAAATAACTTATATATTCAGCCCCAATTCACTTCTTCATGGAGTTTTACAGAAATTACAGTGTGTTACATTGGAGAGTCTCTAGGAATTTGGCACGTGCTTTTTTGGAAAAAGATATGTCAGGTTTTGCAGTAAAAATGCCTTCAATTTATATTTAATCTATGAGTAAAAATTGTACTTTTAATTAAATGCAAAAAAAAAAAAAAATCTTTCCAAAACCTAATGAGAAGTGTGATGCAAAGAAGAAACAGAAGTGATTTAGGGAATAGGAATTCATCATTGCAGTGAATTTTTAATCACAATAAATATTCTTGACGAGTCTTTCCATAACTTTCTTTCTGACTTCTCACTGTGAAGGAAATCCAAGAGGACAAAACAATAAATCTGAGCATTGGCTCTTCTGCCCTCCAGTTACATGAATATTAGAGAATCCTAAGAAGCAAAAAGAGGCTGAACTGTTCATTTCCCACGTTAGCCAATAAACAATAAAATTTGTGAAGGATTTAAAAGAATATACACGATACACTTTCCTACCCTCGGTCTCTTCGGTGTAATGAGTTACCTGACATGATGTTACTGCTTTAACACCTTGTATCGCTCACCTCCACCACTCCTCCTCTGCTGCTCTTTGCAACGCTCAGCTCGGTAAGACTGGCTTTGTTCCCACATGGAAAACGAACCCCAGGATCCAAACCCGCCCAGACTTGCAGCCACCCCCTGCCATCCCTTCCTTCAGAAGGGAAAAACCCACATCATCTCCCAGGAAGAGATAATCAAGCCAACCCAAGGCTTTGTGTGCCGCTTCACTAGGGGATGTTCTTCTCGGTTGTCAGGGCAACTTGCTCCCAGTGAGTTCCCAGATGCCGACAGGAGCATCCCTGGGACCAGATTTCCAAGAGGAGAAAGTGATAAATCGAAATGTATTTAACAACAGGGCTGAGATTCTCGTCACGTGTGCAGAGGTGCAGACACACACGGCCCATCCCGCGGGGATTTGCTCCACCAGCCCGGGAGGGAAATCCAGAGCTTTGCTCCCCCAGCAGCAGAGCCTTCTGCAGACTCACAGCTGTGCTTCAGATGGATACCAGCATCCCCTCCCCATCTTTAGAGCAGGTTCCACCCACCACCCACTGCTCTGCCCATGCAGTTGCATTCAGCTGGAAACAGTGAATGAATGATGGAGCAACAGAGCACAGAACTGCTCAGTCTCTGTTCCAAAACTCCCAGCTTTGACTGCACGAGGGTCAGCATTCCAAGGACTGAGTGCACAGCCTTTGTCTTAGATGGTTTGGATTTGAAGGGACCTTAAAGCTCATCTCCTTCCACCCCCTGCCCTGGGCAGGGACACCTTCCACCAGCCCAGGTTGCTCCAAGCCCCGTCCAACCTGGCCTTGGACACTTCCAGGGATGGGGCAGCCCCAGCTTCTCTGGGCAGCCTGTGTTAGGCCCCAGGAATTGGGATCTGTGGAGCATCCACGTCCCCCTGCCATGATTTAATCCCTCTGCAAAATTTTAACAAACTCCCTGCTCCTCACACTGCAACAAGTTCTCAGTTCTTTGCTAGACCCCAACATGCTCTTCAAATATCACTGGGTGATGGAACCATCTCCTTCTGCCCTACCTTGAGCCAAGGTTTCTGCTCCTAATTCTTAAATGAACCCAAAGCCATTGCAGAGCAGCAGGTGACACTCTGCAAATCACTTCTAGAAATGGCAAAATGAATAATGAGAAGCAGGGAAGGAACGTTCCAGGTTCACTACTCCAGCCCAGGAATCTGCAAGTGTGAAATTAATGCTCAGTTCTGCCTGTCACTACCTGGGCACTGCACAAGAAGCATCAGAGCAGCTCAGAACTCAACCAAACCATAGAAGATGTCACTGACAGGACCAGCAAAGCTCATTCCAGGGATGGAAAAACTGAAATAACAATTGATCCAAGTCCCAAGAAAGGAGAGATTTGGGTTTCCAGTCATGTACAGTCAGTGGGGATTTTGATCAATGGGTTGAGGCATTAGCAAGCCTTTAATAAAGTAAATAAATCCAATAAATTTCCAGTCAAAATCTGGAGGAAAAAACCCTTCCCATTCAGTGAAATGCTCTCTGTCATTGTGGCAGCTTGTTTCTTACATTATTGCATTTCCAATTCCATGTAATTATAGATGCTATGATGGACTATCAATTCCCTAGTTTATACAACTTAATTATCAGGATGCTGAGAATCTGAAACGAGAAGAGTCCATTTCTAAGCCCCAGCAAGACCTAATGCTTCACCAGACCGAGGTTTAATCTTAATACCATAACCTAATGCCAGCTTATAAATCATTAGCAGGGAGTTTTGTAGTCATGGAAACAACACAGAACAGGGTAAGTCAGAGCCTCAATTCCAGCTGATGGAGCAGCCCAGCAGCTCTGAGCAGAGAGGGGCTGGAACTGGAGTTATCGGGGTCCAACCCGAGCTCGTGTCCTCACTGTTCAACTCAACAGAGGGAAAGAACTTCCTGGGTCATTTTTTTTCCCCTACTAAACCTGTGCTGAGCAACCTTGGGAGCTGCTTTTGCGTTAAATTTCCTGTAAAGCAGAGCATGGACACAACCTCTGGCTCTCTGGTTTCTCTCCTTGGCGTTACAAACGCTCGTGAGGGCGGCGGCTTTTCCCACCTAGCGGGTCACTCTCAGCCCTTCCCGTTCGTTCCTGTCACAAACAAATCAACTAAATCACAGAGATTAATGTGTACACACATATCTGTCCGTACAAAAAGGAGCAGGTCAGACTGCAGGACTACAACGGAATCACCAAAAAGTGCAATCCATAAAAACGAAAATGCATTTTTGCTTCATTAGCTAATATAGTTACTGAAAAAAAAAAACCAGCCAGGAAAAAATTCCCATCATTCCCATTGCTAGTAAAGAGGTATAAAGGCAAAGGGGATGTTTCTTAAAAATATAAATGGGGAGGGTGATAAAACTCCACCTAGGACTTAAATATGGACTATTTTATGTCTTTAATTTACTTTTCTCCTCATTTCCTCTCCTGTTTCCCTCAAACTGGTGTCATATTCACCCTTTTGGTTAGTGACAGCAAATTTATTGAAAGGATTTGCTTGAAACAATGAATTTTATCAAAACGGCTATTTAATTTACTGGATTTATATCTTTCTAAATATATGCATTCAAAATGTGGATGATTTCCTTCCTTTCAGGCCTTTGCTGGAGCCAGCTCAGCTCCAGGAGCTTTTCTCTGTTCTTTGCTGACCTCTTGTGGTTTCTCACTCTGAGGAGAAATTATTTTCTCCAGCTCAACACTGTTAATTGGATGTTTACTTGGGATAAAGGCAAAAAGAGAACATGAAAGGACAAGACAACAGTTGAATGCACCATGAGCATCCCAACAGACTTTTTTTTTTTGGGGGGGAAGGGGGGTTTATAATCAATTTTCCAATTTATTCAATTTTTTTTTTTTTTAACTTTCTAGTGTCTCTCGATAGAAGTTAAAACTGTATGACATGCTTGAATATGTGACTTCCAAAAAAAATTCCCGAATTTGCCAGGCAAAAAACTGAGTTAAACATATCCCTTAGAAAATGTAGACAATTAATTCAAATGACTATAAAAGGCAGTCACTGGAAAAGGGATATGTCTATCCTAAGACAGGAATTTCAGGGGATATTGCCCTGGACAACAAATATCTGCCTGTGAGCCATGAAATCTAGAGAGGGAAGCGTTTCCATTCCCCCATTTGGCACTGTCAACATGTTTAATCTGTTTAATAATCCTGTGGCCACCTGAGTCCACTTTGTTGTCTGCCTTTATTGGCAAACACGCTCTGCCCTGCAACAGAGCGGTGCCTAACGAGAAGAAATGTAATTAAAGAGGCTGCCTAGGAATAATATTCAAGAATTCTTGCAGAAGTATCCTGTGGTAGTGCTAATAAAACCCCCAAACAGCAAATAGGATGCTGCAACAGCAAGTCCCTAAGTGTCAAAAGAGGAATTGCTTTTATATATGCTCCTTCATTTTTTAATTATGCAAATTACTGCTAGTTTTCAATTTAGAGTGTGGAATTTGCTTTTAAGCATCAAACTCAATATGGGCAAAGAATAATAAAATTCTGTTCTAACATAATTTTAAAGGACTTTCTACCTAATCCTAGAGCAAATCCCTGCAATCAAACCCCCCAGGCATGCAAAGCTGCAGACCAGGACAGATTTTAAAGCCTTGGGATTGTGGATCCAAATCTTAAAGTGCCATGAAACGATTTATCACACACGAACACACCCCCCACCAAACAGCTGAAGGTGTTTTCTGCATGATGTTGAGAAATAATCTATTTAAATATACACTTTGCAGTGGAACAACAGTGTGTGATCCTTCCCAGCATCTGATTATTCATTCCATAACCAAGTTTTCATGCCGCCTGACCTCGCTCTCAGCAGTCTCAGATCTGCTATGATATTAGAAAATCAGGTTTTGCACATTTTTTTTTTCCCATGGAAAAAACTGAATTTTTGACTGTCTGCACGAGAACACAGAGAGCCAGCTTTCCCTGCTGGAATTCATGTTTGTAATTCATCAGCACTAAACATGAATTTTTGGGAAGCAGCAGCTGTAGGAAACTCCTCAGCTCTTATTTTTTTGGGGGTGCTCTCCTGTGGTGGAAACACGAATGGATCGAGGACTTCTGCCAGGTTATATCACTGCACTTCAAGGCCTGGATTTTACAAGGAAGTGGCAAAAAAAATCATATTTATCCCAGATGCATTTTCTCCTTTAAAAACAGAGAAACTTCCAACTTCCCAGTATGAAACAAGTTTCACCAATGAAACCCCCATGAGGTTCTCAAATAAGAAAAGGTATAAAGGATTGAGGAAGGACAGTCCTCTTCTGCACAGGCCTTTCTGAGACAGAGACATCAGATAAAGAGCCAAGGTTAAGAAAAAGTGTTACTGATTGCATGACAAATGATTATTGCATTAGGGAATATTTGGCAATGACAAATGGTCTCATTTTTGGATTTTTCTGGTTCAGTATTAGAACATTTGTTAAAATCATGCATTAATAATATAAAGAACTCTTCAAACATAACATTTGTTTTTTAAATTCAGTATTTTAAGCTTTGAGTTGTTACATGTAAGCAGCTGTAAAAATACTATTTGAAGATGATAATGGCTTCAATAACCTCAGATCCCTAAAACAGTTACAGCACAGGAGCTTCAAATTCTAATCCAAATTCTAATTTAACCAACGTATAAAACTTGAAGCGTGATTTGTGTCAGTGACCTTTGCCGTAAGAAAGCAAGATAATTTGTTAGAGATACATGCAAATATCAAGTCCACACATGTATGTTCTCAATGCTGAGATGTAACTTTTATGGCAATAACTGAGTGATGTGGTGATTGGTGAAAAAAGCAAAATGGGAAGTTAACAGGTGAATTGGTATTTCAGGTCTCAGAGCATCTGTGCACATGATAATATAATAACCTCTTATGATATAGCATACTCCAAATAACATAAAGCAATAAATGTAGTATGTTATACCATAAACCATGCATGCTGTAGTATGCAAATTTATCTATTTAAATATACAGCGACCACGAGCATTATTTGATCTGTGAAAGTTCATTTAAAGTTCCATGAATGTCTTTCAAATTAAAGATGCACCATTTTCCATTTTCCATGAGAAGGTGGCATTCATTTAACTCATTCCTTCAAAAAGAAAGGCACACTGCATCTGCTCAGGTTGGATGATGACTGCTTTTTGGTAGGAAAATCTTAATCTGGGGAGTATTTTGTGACAAATCGTGGAAGATTCACACTCCCAATTTTTTTTAAAAAGAAAACCTTAAACTGGGAGAAAAACAAGTGCATCCTTAAAAGATGGTGAGGATGAAACTGAACTTAATAAACTTAATAAACTTCAAACATCAGTAAAGAGGGTTGTGTGAAGAGAAAGGTGTAGGAGAACACCAAAACTACCTTGAAGAAGTGGATATTTACATGACAGTCCTGGAAGAGACAGGAAAGGGAGAAACACTGCCTGGTTAGTAAGGGCTGGCACAGCAAAGCAACCACAATTAGTAGCAGAATAAACAAACACAGACACAGCAGCGGGAATACAAAATGGACACATCTGTTAAGCACAGAACAACCACAGAAAAAAAAAATAAAATAAATTGGTGTTAATTACCCTGGCAGGGAGGAGCAGGGACAAGCACAGCGAGGGGCAGGTCCTCACACAGCTGCTCCTGGGGGTGAGCTCAGCCTTGGCCACACTCACCCCCCTCATGCAGGGGACATTCCTTGGGGAAGCACTCCAGGTGTGTCCAGCTGTGGGCAGCCTGGGCTTCACCAGCTGAGGAGCTCTGACAGGGCCACAGCACTAAAGGGGGTTTCCTGGTTTATTTTTTTTTTGCCTTGTTCTGTAACACACATTTAACCTTTACACAAGGGATAAGGAAATCCCTCCCAACGATATGATTTTTTAACATGTGTTCTTCACCTGAAATCACAACACACAGCCCGAGAAAAGCCTTAGGGAAATCAGAGGCTGATGTGAACAGAGACCAGAGATTTCTGTCATCTAGTTAAGAAATGTCAAGTTTTCTAGTTTGAGCTCTGGTGAGTGGATGGGAAACCTCCAGATAACTGCATATGGGAATTCCCCATGCCAAGCTATAGCACAGAACAGATGGAGTCATCTAACAGCATCTCTAGAATGCTGCAAACTATTCTCTAATGATTAAATATGCACAATTTAAAAATAGGAATGAGTGCCATGGCCAAAAAAAGCAGCTCTTCTTTTTATATCTCTATATGCATAATGAGTGTGGATTGATGTGCCAGTGATATTTTGGCTGGTCATGATTTCAGTGTAGCTCAGTGTCTGTTTCCTGAAAAGTAAATTTAATCTTGTAGTTCTCAATTTGAAGTGTCAGCAACATTATTTCCCTTTTCCATGTCACCTTCCCTAACCTCCCTGAAGTCACAGTTATTGCTTCAAAATGGGAGTGCATACTGGTTAGATACAGATATGGAAGAGATCATATCTTTTATTTATTAAAAAAAAAAAAAAGAGCAAAGTAACTGTAGTATAACAGCTCTGGGGCAAAAACATTGCCATCCTTCAAAAACTTGCAAGAAATGTTTCCTTCACAGCCCTTATAATATTTTACACAGAGACCTGGAGAACTTAACTCACAAATTAAAAAAATCCTCTACAGTTTGGCTTATTTTGTTTTTTGGGTGGTTTTTTTTTTTTTAATGAAAAATTAATAAATTTAATTAGAAAACTCATTGGGTTCTTAAGAAGCTACTGAAACAGTCCCTGGAGTCTTCTGCTATGGCCCTGGCTGTGCAACTGCAACATTTTCACCCAGCCTCCAGCTCAGAATTAAGACAGCTCTAGGATGTTCTGGCCACTGATTAAAGGAAAGAAAGAAAATATCCTTCTGGCCTAAAGTTGTTGTGAATATCAGGAAAATGTCAGATTAATCAAGACAGTCCTGGCCTTCTCCTTCCTAATAAAGCAGCCAGAAACCACTTTAAAAACTAAAACTAAAGGGAGTGTCAAAGACCTAAGAAATGCAGGACCTGCAGTGAAACAATCTGAAACGATGTACTGATGTTCAGAAAGGAAATGATAAATAAATGAAAGAGGTTTCTTTAGCATTGGACTATAACAGCAACAAAACTCACCAGAAAGCTTTAACTGTGCCTTTCAGGTGCTGTTTAACACCTTTGGGCTGCCACAAAGAGAGGACTGATGGTGTAAACCCATGGAAGCTCTGTATGCACTAATCCAGACTGGGGGATTTGTAAATTCACATCTCCACAAGGATTAACACCCAAGTTTGGTCAAACAAAGCACTGCCCTGCACCCTGGAGGAGCTCAGCAGCAGAAATATCTGTCTCAGTCACTGGAGACGTCCCAGGTATTTATAACCAAGCCCCATGGCCAAGCTCCACATCCTCCCTGTTCTTATATTTAAAATGATAAGGCACTTTAAAAGACATTTCCTTTAGGATCATCATGACAGTTACAGTCAGAAGCACTGAGATGTCACCAAAATGTCACCACTTCCAGTGCTTGGGTACGAAATCCGCCCTGCTCTGAACTCTGCTCCCCCTCCTTGTGCTGCAGGCTGCAAAAGGAAACTACAGCCTCCACCAGCAATTCCACAGGTCAAGGCAACTGAAAACACCTCCCACAAACACCACTCAAAGGTGGCCTGGGTGGTGGATGTGGATTTGTGTCCCCAGGGAAGCCCCATCAGAATGGACCCCCCACAGCGGGAACAGCCGTGTCTCTCAGAAACTAAGGGAACAATTTTGTTCCTCTGAAACCCCCCCAGAGCTGCACTAGAGGAAGTCATTACAGCAAAAGAAGATGTCTGACACGGGAAGATTATGCACCAGGAGGACCATTGCACAGAGGCTTTAAAATGAAGATTACAGGAGCAGAAACAACGTGCTGGGATCACTCCAGTTCCCAAAGCTGGGTGTAGTGACTCACACTGCTCCCATCACTCAAGATACCTTGTGCTCACTAAATGTGTCCACATGTCAGGATTACAGCTGCTCTGGCCTTTGTTTAATTTAAAAAAAATCATTTGAATGGGCCATAACTGCTTTTTTTTTAATAACATTTCCCATGCTGGTGATGTGGGAAGAAGGGGATAAGAGAGAATATCTCACCAGCCTACTTTTAAACCAGAATTACTCTATTATTATTCTAAGATGATCTTTAAGTATCAAGAAGTGCTTTACTAAGCAGGAAAAGGAAAAAAAGGCTTGACCAAGCTGAAATAACTTTCTACAATAGAAGTTTTACAAATCCACACATTTCTTTTCCCCTAATAAAGAAAAAAAAAAGAATAGCAATGATGCCCTAAATGGCAAAAGCATCTTACTGCTCAAGTCACAACCTGGTAGAAAACAAATACCATCAGGTTGCATTATTTCAATATTCTGCTTTTTATTTTGCCTAGTAAAATACTGTAAGGAGGAAATAAGTATCTAACAAAAAGTACATGCTGCAGGCAGAAGATTTGCTAGTTTGGGTCCATGGAGCCACCTGGGACTGTTGGGAGTTCCCATGGCAACCTCAGCACGGACAATTATGGAGCAGCCACAATTATTCTGAATATGCCTGTTGAGAAGGGAGTTGCATTTTGAGACGGCCACAAATAATCCCATTCCAGAGGGAAAATTCACAACCAAAGGTTAAAACCAACGGGAAAATAGTGACAGATTTTCTCCTGCCTCCGCTTCCTACAGGAGTATATTTTTATCTCTAAATATTAATAATGATGTATCACGTACAAACACTGAGGACAGATTTGATCACACTGCTAAATGAGCAGATAACGGGATTTGTAAGTTTTAGTGAGGGGTGAGATCCAGAAAATACGTAGATTGAATAAAATTTGTTGTGTAGAAAATACTGCAGTGCCCCCCTGCGTGACACACCTCTCTTTCTATAGAATGCCCAGGTTCACACAGATAACACACTGCACGTCGTAAGAAAAATCCTGGCAATAAAATCTAAAAGGTAAAAAAAGCACCATCCTCTTCAAGCCTTTCTTTTCCAAATTTGGTCCCATTTGCTGGATAGGGCAGAAGTTGGGTGTTAATTTTTCAGCTGGTTCAGAGGTGGCAGAATGGGCCACGAGGAAACTTCTCACGACAAACAGGGTTTTTTTCTGTTCATTTACAAATGGAAGGGGAGGGAATTTTGGAATCTAATTATGATTTATTTATAATCTCGTATAGTTGTTTTATGGTAGATTTACATTGAATAAATGACTTAAAGAATCTGTGCCAGAAGGTCCAGCGAGCAAAGCAACATATCCATGAGCTTTGTGTGGCTAATAAGCACATTTAAATAAGAAGTCTGGGTGGTTACAGTGATATGTTAAGAAGGATGTGATGGGATTGTGTAAAGAGTTTGAAACCAATGAGAGCCTGAGGCCGAATCTCAAGGCTGTCTGTTGAAATACAGATGCAGGCAGATATTTTTAAAATTCTGATTTAAATGGGAGGTAGTTCCTAAGTGCTCTTGAAGGTTCTACAAGGCACATTTCCAAACTTCAGTCAAAAGGGCAAAGTCAATTTTAAGAGTGTCTTAGACACTCTTAAGATCAGAAACAGGTTTCAGAAATTCCACAGCTACTGGTTCCCTGATCTTTTATAACTTGAGAATATTCTTATTCTGTCTAAATAAGCAATGAAATTCTCATCTTAAAGTTTCTGTACTCTTGTGTAGCTTAGGTTTGTATAAGAGCCCTTTACTCTGAAGGCCACCAGGATTCATTTTAAGTATTTGACATCAGTAATGCAATATTTTTGCAGAAATGGTTGTAATTTTGTACTGAAAGTTAACATAATGTATCTTGGCGACCAATCACAGGGTCATATATTGAAAAACAGACCAAGCAGCACAACTGCAGAGTTGATTAGGAAGCACTCTGGAGTTAGTCCTTCTAGAAACTGATAAATGAGGAGATGGCCCAGAATGACCTCTTGGTCTATCTATAATTTTAATGTTCCTGACAAATTCACTCCCCCAGGAAAATGGCAGTCAAGATCTGCAATCTCCTTCCTGCAAGGCTTCAACGCTGATTTTAGAACAGTGGCAATATTTATTTAGATGATGTCATTAAATCCCAAATAGCAGCATATTTCTCAGTGCTATCTATTTGTTCCTTAGTACGGGGTACCTAAAATAAAATGCCTATGCAAGCCAGGATATAAATGATAACAGAAGTAAGATAAAAGATGATCAGAGTCAGCACTACTTATGTGCCACACCAGAATAGCTAATAAGTTAAATACCACCATTCAGACATCTGTGCTGCTAATTTTTAGAAGCCATCACAGTGATGGCCCTTGAAACCAAGCAAGAATTTTCCTTGGAGGGTCCTGCTTCCCTCTGCTCCTTCTCACAGTGGTAAATTTTAAAAGAGAGCAAAATGGGTGAACCTGAATCCTTTTGCCATGTACCACTGCATTATCCCAGCCTCGGGCTCCCCATAATTACAGGGTTTGTTCAGCTACCAACACTCATTTATCATCACTGAAGTTTCAAACTGTTCATTGTGTGCACCTGGGGAAATCACATTCCTGGAGACACCGTGTTCACTGAAGACCTATTCCCTTCCCTTGATTAATTCAGCCACTCAAACAGCAACAACCAGGTTACTCCCCAAACAGGGAGAGCCTCAAATACACAGTGCTGAGGCTGAACTAATTAGACTTTGAGACAGACTAATTATTTCTGAGGCAGAGCTGCCCCTGTGTGAAGCTGCTGTTTCTGGTACCAGGTCCAGTAGCTTTACATGATGCAACCTCTCAGGATTTCTCCTCCCCTTCATTGCAGGACACAGATAAACCCTCACTGTTTCTCCTGCAACCAATGTATTTACTGTAGGATGAAGAAAAAAGCCTAAGAGGTTGTAAATTCAATATGCAAACACAGTGAATATAATATCTGACCTTTTTAAGTGGACAATTTTAGTGACTTTTCTTCGTGCTGTCCCTGACCTGAGGAAAAAACCAGGTAGATTTCTATACCTGCATCACCAGTATTTAAAGATCCACCCAGTTCCAGGCTCTGTGTAATGCACAGGGGCATGGAAGGGCTGGACAGAATTCCTTTTGACGCTATTCTTCACAGGGAGGGTGAAAAAGAAATATGATCTTGAACAGCAGATGACCTAGTGCAGCAAAATAAAATCACACTGGGTCAGATCACAATTGTAAAGAAAGGAAAATGGAATGGAGATTCAAATACTTCTCAAATGTGTAACAAAAATCATAGCTCATGCTGCAGACAGGAGCATGGGAGCTGATCCAAAGGCGTTCACAAGAAATCGATGCACCTTTTCTTTTTCTTCCTTCAAAGTTGAACAGGTGCCGTTTTTCCTCACTTTCTTGGCTTAACCCATCTTTTATAATAACAATGGAGAATTCTGCCTGATGGTGAACATAAAAAATTGCCATTTCAGGTGGAAAGGAACAGGCGTGTTTGTTTATGCACAGCAGGTACATTAATCAGGTTCTGCAGGAACAGCCTGGCTGAGGCTGTAAATGTCCAACCAGGAGAAGGAAACCAACAGTGCAGATTGGAATACTGCAAATTCATTTCTGTGTGTGAGAGCAGCTGGAAGGGCAGCCAAGGGAGATGAGCTGGATCCAGCACAGCCATCAGCAAAACCACCTCCCTCCCCAGGCTGTACCTGCCCTGTTTCTGGGGTTTGTGCTCAGCAAATATTTAGTTGGAGTATCAGCTGCAGTTGTCACAAGAGGCTGAGTTGCTGGCTAAGTGTGATCATTAAGGAATTATTCCTCTGTATGGCACAATGAGACCGTGCTCGTGGCTACCAACAGAAGGCAGGACACTGTGGAAAGCTTTTTCTCTGGATTATCTTTCCTATACATAACCAGCAATACCTCTGGTCCTTAAAGTGAGATCAGAATTTCACATGGAAAACCTCTGAAAAGATTATGTGGCTCTAAATCATCAGTAATCATTACAGGCCTTTTGTTAAAACACACAAACTTACAGTGTTAAACATTCTAAATATGTGGTTCCTGAAAATATCATTTGTCAAATAATGCAGATACCAGTGATAATGGCTGGAGGATTCTGCAGCAAGTGTTAGAAGGTATTGAAATTATTACACATGCTTGACAAAACATATTTTAAAATACCAACTTCGAAGTGTCACAGCAGAGAAGCTGAACTGTCAGGAAAATGATGCCACCACTGAATTAAACCATTTGGTCCACACCAAAGTCACACAGTGCTGTCACAGGAACAGAAGCAGTAGCTCTCAACCATATGTATCTTTTAACGGGCTTTCTTTTTTGGAATAAAGTGAAAAATTTCGTAATAAAGTGAAAAGTAAGTGCAATATACAGTTTTCAGCCCTCACCTCAAACTTCTGCCGGAGCTCTGCATTTCCATCTTCATCAGCATCTGGAATTGGAACATTGTAATATTCACCTTCTTCTTGATTCAGCAGCTTGTACCTGTGGAACGTTTGAGAAAAAAAAATTGTGACTTTCCAGTTTAATTCCTGTTGGATTTGAAACCTGATTTAGTGTGATTATATGATTTTTTGTGTGTGTGTGTGGTTGGTATCAGTGTCACAGGTAAAGAACTGACCTCAAGGACCTAAAGCAAACTCAGAAATAGAGTATATTTAACATGAAATCAAATCTTTACTCCCAAATTATGTGGCAATGAATGGACGAGGTGATTCTTCCCACCCATCCTGTGATATGATGGGAGACATCAACCCTGGAGAACCTTTGTCTCCAGCGCTTCCACAGCCCTAAAGAAGAGTCTTGGAAGGAATGTCCTTTTTCAGGAGGTGTGGGGAGTTCCACCCCTTGCTTGGTTGGTAATGAGATGGCATTTTATGAAATCAGTTTCCATGTACTTTGAATATGCAGGGCTATATATAACATGATACACTTAGTAATGAATACATCATATTTGAGATAAAAATAAAATTCCTATCACAAGACTATGTACACAGAGCTGAGTTTGCAGCAGCTCCTGGCTCCAGCAGAAGTTTCATGCACACCACAAAAGAAAAGCAATCCTTCCATTATCCTCCTTTGATATATAAATATATATAGCCTGTATTTCCTAGGTTTAGTTGCACTTTCAGTGAATTTATAGCCTGAAACTCAGTGAAAAGCTCAAAAAAAAAAAATAAAAAAGGTAGTTCATGCTGAAGAAAAAGAGTGATTTAAAACTTTGGGTGATATATTCTCTCCTCCTCTTGACTGAAACTCTTACCATCCACTGGCTGGCATTTTCATAAGCTCTGACACCCCAAATGAAAGAGATCCCATGAAATCATTCCTGGTTGTTCGATCCCAGTCCCAGACCTCGACGGACAACCGGCGATCTTTGTCTGAAGGCTTTAATTTACTAAAAAGGAGAGAAGTAGAGCAGTTTATAATGCAGTTTACAACGAACAAACAATTCCAAACATGCAAAGATCCCGCATGAAGTGCTGTTAAACTCACAACGTGAAGGACTCATTCCAGTCTGGGTTCAGAGTGGAACGGATGGTTTTTGTTTTTTGTTTGCTCTCGTTCTTCGGGTCTGGGATGAGCTTCAGTTTAACATAAGGATCTGAGAGTCCATTTGGATCCATGGGAATGAGGTTTTTTGCTTCTCTCACTGTCAATATGAAAAAAAAGAAAAACCAGCTCGTTTGTACAGGATTAGACATCGCTCATAAGAAGCAATAACACGTCAAACCAGAGTTATTGAAAGATGCTGACAAACAAATAACACGTGAAAGCCACTTGGAAGAAACTCCTTGTTGTAAAGTGGGGTTGTACTGAGTGATATTTATCAGAATTGTAGAGAGCAATGACAGGAGAGGAGTGATTCACAACCGACACGCAGCTCCCAGGCAGCTCTTTCCTGCAGTGGAACGATTAAGTACCCAAATCCATCACTCTCATTTTTCTAAGCAGGTACCAATTCTTTGTGCTTTTTTTTTTTTTTTTTTTGATCAGTCTTAGGTCATACAACGACAGGACTATCAGCCAAATGCTGTTAAGGGCAACAGCCAGATCAGAGTGGATTTCAGAGGGTCCATTATCTGATACAATCCCCCTTTGGAAGGTTTTGGAACACCGAACGTCCCATGGATTCACAGATCATCAGCTGTCAGAGGGAATCACTGCCATTGTGTCATGACAGCAATCAAAAGGAAAGATACAGGGGAGACAAGCTGAACTTCAGCTTCACAGAAATCTTAATGTGGCTTCTACTTTCACAATGTCAGAAGAAGAAATGGAGTGAGTTAATTTATCTCACGTTGCTGCTGATCCCCCAAGAGTGAGAGACCACTCAGAACCTGCAGGTCAGAAGTGCAGGGGAGTGGAATATTCAGTGGAACAGCACTGCCCTCCCTCTTGTAGCCACATGAGTAACATTTATGCATCATGGAAGCTTTTATTCTGCTGCACCTTGGAAGAAGAGGTGAATTTTCCTCATGCTGTGAAACCCCATCCCACCCAAACCAACTGGGATCAAGCTGGGGAGGGAAATTTGGAGCTCACTTAATATTTCTTCATGGAAAATGTTTCCTACAGAAATATGAATTTTAGAGTCAGAGCTAATGCAAAGAAAGAAAATAAAAAAAAACTTGTTAGATCTTCAGCAACAGGTGCTCAAGGCACTCTTCTCCTCTTCCCCTCAGATTTAAATGGCATTTTCATATTATAAATAAAAAAAATCCTTCCCAGGATTTCAGTCTGCTGTTTCCCAGCATGGAGGCTGAAAGGCATCCAAGCAACACAGATATTATTTTTATATATAGACTAAGAAGAGGACGGGCTTTGGGCAGCAGCTTTTCACTGCTGTGCTTTACCAAAGGCCAGTGGAATGAAAGATGGTGGTGTTGACAACATCCCTCTTGTAAAACAGCAATGAGGGTGATTTATAAACCATGGGATGTTGTGTTCCATTTCCCACACACCAGGTGTACTGGCAGGGTGATGGAACCAGCTCTAGGCTGGCTCTGTCCTTGCAGTGGATGGAGAGAGTGTTTTAGTGTTCATTGTGTTCTTCCAAAGGACACAACTGCCAAGTGCAAATCAACTGCCTGTGCCGTTTGATGCAGAGGGAAATTTTCTTTTTGGGAAAAAAAACCCACAGAAAAAAACCCACCATAATTTCAAACAGTTCAGCCTGCTCTGTTTGTTTAATGAGAGATTATTAGGGGTGGTAGAACAAGCTGGAAGGGAGAAACACCACACCTAACTAGGACCTTATACCAAAATAGCTGTGGGAAGAAGGCATTGTCCAGGGATGGGAATAACTGATTTGGAAGACACCAGTTTATTTGTCAAGATAATTCTCAGGCAGAACAGATACTCTGAGGTAAATTAATTAACAAAATTAGATCGTGGCTGGAAATGAATCACATGAACTTGACCCAACAGTTGATACTGATCAAGTTTCTTAAATTTGTGTTTTTAAACTACAGACAGAAAATGCTTGTGGGTTAAAATTTTAGAATAAAATGTGATCCTGTTCACTCAGATTGTTGGTCAAATAATTATACCAGAAAAAAGAAATCACTGTGTTTTAAAAGAACAGAACAGAAACATCCTTGCAAACCATTTCATTTTTAGCTTTCCATAAATCTGACAGGGGCTTTGCAACTGGGGAAATGACAGTTTTCAGGCCAGGAAAACTGTCTCCACTCTCATTTACTCTGAGTTTGCCCTTTGAGGGTCTTCACACCCAGTGGTCAGCTGGAAAGCCATTTGTTTTCAACCCATGAAAAAAAAAACCCCAACCCACCCAATATTAAAACTCGGCACACTGAAAGTGATCTTCAAACACCTCTGAGGAACAACACTGAGATTCAATAACTTATTTTAGTGAAGCATTTACAATCCCAAAGGGACTGAGAACCATGAAGAGAGAGTGCAGGATGAAGTGACAGCTTTCAGTGCAAGCTGCTCTCTCTCATCCTATATTTGGGGTTATTTTGGCTTTTTTTGGTTTTTTTTTTTTGTGCATGGCTCTTGTGACTGCACTGCCAGGTTTGGCACATGAGCTATTCCTTCAAAAATCCACGTTCTCATTCTTTTTTCCTATACTGTAGTTTGACACAAGTGAGGAGCAGAACTCTCCACATGTTCTGCAGCTTCCCAAAAATACGCCCTGGTGAGTTTATCACTAAAATTCCTTGAACAAAACGGCTTAATTTGAACTTGGCATCTTCAGACTGAGCTTTTAGGTTTCAGTTTTACCTGGAGAGGCTCAATGTAACAAGCAGAATTTTAAGCAATAGGCTGGGTGGATGCAGAGACATCCTTGGAAACTCTGCCATGGAGAATTCCCTGGAGAAAGCCATCACTGAGCAGCCTGGATAGACCTGCTGAGCCTGGAAAACAGCACTGGCAGCAGGAGGCCATGGCACCATGTGCAAGAAAGATTGCTTCTTTCTTTTGCAGCACACACAGAAAATGGAAAAAAACCACAACCCCAACCTCTAAATATAAGAAAGAGAAGCTCAAAGATTAATTGGGAAGGAAAGATGCAACATGTACTAAATACAGGCTGCAGACAAAGTCATTATCTCCCTCCTTGTTTAAAGATATCTGGCCCATTTGTACTTTTTGTCTGCATAATTAATACCCTCAGACATCTTTTTCCAACTGATTTAGCTCTTCTTTTCCTGAGGAAACAGCATGATGATACTTGTGCTGAATAGTGCTTACAGAGAATTAGCATCCAAGTGGTCCATCTCTAAGGGTGCCCTATTTTTAACAGGATGGGTCAGGTTTCTCTAAGAGGATTGACATGAAGAAGAGATTCCCCCCCTCCCCCCCCCTCACCAAAGTCACCCTCTCTTGTGTGGGGGTGAAAAAGTTAAGTGAAAAATAACCCCGTGAAAAGAAATCAACTCACCGTGGCTGAGTTGTGCCATAGCTGTAATGACAGCAATCTCTTACTGCTTGGTAATTATTAGTTAATTAAACTCAACACTGTGCTAGGGATGTTACTCTAAATTAGAGATGGTTGAAGTGAGGTGAAGTGGAGCATAACTTGGGCACAAACCTAAAATATAATCTGTCACTTTTCTGTCGTGACTATTAAGGACGGGAACAATCCCTGTGCTGAGCAAAGCAGCTGCTACAAGTTGAATTTCCCAACATTTTGTCCAGATTGGACTCTTAATGCGGACTGAGAGAGCACACAGATGAACACACAACAAAGAGAACTATACACCGAATTTTAACAAATCCCACCTTGCCCAGGTTTTCCTTCCAAAAACAGAAATAGGAGGGGAAAAAAAGTACCATTTTCCTACTTGTTAATGAAGGAGAGATCATAAATGTCTATTCAACAGAAAATGTAGACTATTTGATGCCTGTCCTGTGGCTCTTCTATCATGTCCTCCTCCTAAACCAGCAGTACCCACCCAGGAGCCCTGCCTGCCACTGGGACACCCACTTTCCCAGGAATAGGATAAAGGCATAAGCAAACACAGATCTTGTTCTTAGGTATTCATACTTGAAACAAGAATCTAAATAAAACAGAGTGGGCTGGCAGGGAACAACTGACGTTTGATGCAAAGAGAAGAAACACGGGCAGAGTTTTTGAGGAACCCGGAGAGCGGATGACGAAGCTGAAACTTTTTCCATGAGATTGGATAGGTCAAGAGTTGCAAGCCATATGCAGTTATGGATTTATAGCTTCTTGTGGCACCAGCAGATAAAATTAGTCACGGGAATGAGTAAATAAATGTTTCTGTCCCTAGAACAAAGCTGGATGATTAGCAGCATGAGTTTACTCAGTTCCTTTTCAAGTGAGTCACAGCCACCTTTTTCCTGAATTCCCAAATGTTGATAATAAACCAGTTTAGTGATCACAGCAACCATTTTGTGCCAATCTTTTACTCCCCACAGGCAAGTTAGATGAGCAGAAATCTCTCCACCACATGCCAGTAACTGCTTTTAGAAGACAATTCCAGTCTCCAACGGTCTGGCCTGGCACAATATCCAGAGAAATGAAGGAAAAGGGAGGCTGTTGTGAGCTCCAAGAGTCAGCTCCAAGTTCCTGTCTTCACACAATAAAGCATTAGTAAATTATTCCATAATTCTCATTGCCTCCTGAAGAACATTCTAGCACAAATCCCAGTGATTTGCCCAGTTTTCAGATGACTTAGGTGAGCGACAGAGGCATTTCCTCCCCAGTTCCTCACTGCACTCCCCTTAACCACAGTTCAGATTTACCCATGACTGAAAATAGTCCTTCTTCCAATTTTTGGATTTGTATTCTCTGTATGCAGAATCCAAAGCTGCCTCCAGAACTGCTCAGCTTTCATTAAAGATTTATTCCGAGGTTTTATTAAAACTCACTGAGTGCTTCCTTTCTGGAGCTGGTTGTGACTCACATGTACAACTGGCTCTGAAACAAATCCCGCTTTTCAGGCAGTTTCCAGTCTCTGCACAGTTCTCATCACTAAAAGGGCTTTCAGATATGAGACTTTTCTCTATTCCACAACTACTCCCCTGCCCAGGTAACATTTCTTTTCATATCCCTCCTGAGCCCAGGGATCCCATTACCTGAGCCCCCAAAAATGGCCATATAAGGAGCCCCTGCACTGCCCAGGTGATGTACAAGACTCACATGATTCATTTCCTTGTCTGGAACAAGCCAAAAAAATGAACTAATTTTCCAGGACACTTTATTTCTCTGTATTTATTAAGATATCCTCTCCTACTAACAAAAAAAATGTACCATCATCCCTAACGCTACTTCCCAAGTTTTTTGTGCCTGCAATAGGTTCTCTGCTTTCAATTTTAACTGGAAAGCTCCTGGGAGCAATTCTATTTTATTTTTAAAATAAGATTATCTTTGTAAAAATTATCATTAATCACTACTGGGTAGGAGAGCTGCTTAATGAAACATAAATCTTAACACAAGATGGATCAAATCGTCTGAAAAAGGATTCAGACCATTACATTTCTAATTTTATCTGTCTATACACTTACCTAAACATATAGGATTTAGTTAATATTTCTGTATGCATGTAGATGGCCATTTATGAGAAATTAATGTTCTTTTTAAATACCGTGCATTGCCTATTTCTTCATGGTAAAGTAAATTTAATGACTGAAAGGGGAAGGAAACTTTCTGTTGTTATCATTGCTAAAGGCACAGCTTTTCCTGTAATGACTGCAGCAACCCTGCAGATTCTGGGGCTGTCACAAAAGAGATATTAGTGAAGCAAACCATGAGATTCGTGTTTTTTGAGACATTAAAAATGTCTCCCACATGCAAACAATTATTTGGGATCGCTTTATAGGCATTTGGTCCTAAAAGCCGGTCAAATATCGAGAATATTCCTGTGTGTTCCCTTTTAAAATCACTTGCAGATATTATGAAGTTAATGCTCACAGCCACTGACCTAAAAAACCCATAAATAAAATTTATCAGAGTGGTGTGCGTGGCAAGATCTTCTAAGGAAAAGAAAATTTTTATGAGACTCTAGAGATGTGCCAGAATCCTCCGAGTTTGCCTGGGCAGAGGCTCCTGGGCCAGCTGCCCTCAGCCAGCAGCGTGACAGGCCATTCATGTGCAGAGCCAGGAGGTGGCTCAGCGTTCATACACTCATAAATAATTTGGAGAATGGGCAGGGGGGAGCACAGAACTCCCGGGGAGGTCGTTGCTGGAGAGGCTGCTGCGTGTGCTCTGCAGGGATCGCTGCCAGCTCTCCTCTCCTTCCCAACGCCAGAGGCATCACCGAGGAACGACACCCCATTTTCTGTATCCTTGCAGCTTGGAAAAATAGCTTTAACCCCCCCCTCCCCCTGAAAACTCTGGGCTGTGTCTGTGTTTTAACAAGGTTTATGTAATAGGGGGGTGCATTAGCTGCCAGCAAGTCACTACCAGCCTGTCTCTAAATTGGTGTCGATGTCGGGAGGGCAGTTCTTCCCTGTCAGCTGCTGTCACATCCAACTCCCAGCCACTCACAGGGTCCCAATAGCGTGGCAGCTTTTTATAAATCAGTGCACCAAACGGGGTTATTTTTCTCACCCAGGTTATTGTTCATTCACTAGAAGAATAATCCCAAAATAAAATTAAGAACAAAATCGCAACTGTGATTCAACCACCTACAAACTCACCCTGAATTATAAGACGGGTCAAGAAGTAAATGTAAGAGTGAAAAAGCTTGTAGCACACATCAGGGGGGAAGAAAATTCAGTGCAAAAAGCAGAGATTAAGAATAGCAGAAACTGCTTTATTATGCCTAAGAGCAAACCCCCCACGTCAATCCAACCTATGAAAGGGTCACGAACTCAGTGATTTCACAGATAAGCAATTCAGGAGTGTCGCTATAAAAAGAAAACTACCCCACTGATTTACTTCAAGTGCAATAAATTATTAATATTCAACGCAACTCTCAAGCAAGCAGCTCAACCATTGAAAATAAACCACTGATGTTTAAGAACTTCAACACAAACGAGCTCTGAATGGGGCAGATTGAGCAGCCCTGGCAAGACGGAGAGTTTTGGCAGAGTATACCCATCCAAAATTCCTACTCATTTGTGAAGAAGTGTTGCAGGGTCTCTACAATTCACACAGGAAAACCTGCACGTCCGTGTTTATGCACCTGGACTGAGGATCTGGCCCAGCTAAATGGAATTAAGTGTATTTATACAGAGGACTGAGTCATTCCCACCATTAGTTCAATTCAAAACCTGCCAACTTGGAGATTTTAGATAATCTGACTGAGCCAGTGGCCAGCCCCACCTGGCAGAACCCGGCCTTGCCTCCTTCCTAGAATTCACTGGGGGAAGAAAACTCATTCCTATTTACAACATTCCATCAGGAAAACACCCTGTGTGTGTGTGTGTGGACTGTGGTGCTTTTTGGAAACAAAAAGGCACCACCAAACCCTCTGGGCAATTCTGCAGAGGCAAAGCCAAACTGGGATGGGCTAAACCCTGTCCCCTAAATGTCCAAATCCTGCAGTTGTCATCTGTGAGCTGTGCCCTCCTGGGCTGCCCTGGCTGGGGCTGGGAGGGTCGAGCTGCCCATGGAAGCGATTTGCGAGATGCCAACCCCAGTGCACGTCTCCATTTAGCAGCACAAATGTTTTGCATGCAATCAAGGCTGGCTAGGAAAGAACCAGCAGGAACTAATTAACAACCAAAACAGGATGCAGAGCAGAGATATTAAGGAATTCAGCTGAAGCAGTTCAACACCTCCAGAGTAATTCCTTTGAAAAAGATTCAGACCAAAGGCTCAAACCAAACAGTCAATCGTCGATTATTTTTCCTGCTGTTCCTAAACCTCCTGGACATTTAATTCACCTCCCTTCCCAAAGCTGAGGGCAGTGATATTGTGTCTGGCAGCTCTGGGAACTGTATATTCTAACAAAGGTTTTCTCCATAAATATTTTAGAAGCAATGACAATCTAGGAGAAAATTTTTCGCATAGCAGTGTGTCCATGAACTAACTGACAACTGCCAATTTCCTTTTCAGTTAAACATGCACAAAAGGCACCTGAAATGTCATTTGGGCTTAGTCTGTACAGCAATTTTTTATTTAAAGGAACAAAAAAGCAGCTTACTTTCAGAACAACTGTCACTTTTATTTAATGAAGTTTTCTGAAAGCTTAGAAATGCTGAGAAGCCTCAACCCCAACAACAGCCCTGAAATTGTTTTATACATAACAAGGTTATAGTAAACATTTTTCTTGTTGTCCAGAAACCTACTTAATTGTAGGATGGAAATGTTTTATTTATAAACACAATAGAAACAGCAATTGCCAAGTACACTGACACCAAAAAGAGCAATGAAGAAAACCCAAGAAATGTCTGTAACACTTTGACCACGTTCATATCTCAGAGAAGACCTTTTCAAATGGAACTGTGAACTAAAAGGATCCTTGTTTGTGCAATCGTTTTACAGGGCCTTGGTACCACAAAGGCCTGTGACAAATGTTTTTGTCCCTAAAAGGATTATAAACCCACTGAATCATCAGAAAATAAGCACATGTTATTTGTCAAATTATGTGTATTATGGCAGAAAGTTGAAGCCATATTTAAGAACCTTGCTGCAGAGCGGCCTAGAATAATGCAAACATTACATTTTGTCACTTGGATGATTTTCAAATTAATTCTCTCTCATGGTACAATTGCTTTTAGAAGCTGCATCACCATCTCTGAAGTGCCTCACTACTTAGTGAAACCACCTCCTGTTAATGACAGTACCTTGGACAAATTTCCCCTCCCACGTCGACAGGAAGCGATTTGAAAAGTTAAGCTACAATTAAGCACCACTTGGGATCTGTTCTGATCCCTTCAACTCAGTTTTATCCAGCTTCTCCTTTTCAGTGCATTTTATGAGGTCTGACAGGAGAAATATGGAGGTATTTGGATTCAGAGAGCACAGAGCCTTGGAGAATACAGTGGCAGGAGGAAAACTTGCTGGCTCTGTAAGCTGTGAAAATTCAGTGGGATGGTCTCATTTCCTTTCTGCTGACCACAGACTCGGACTGGGTCGGTGGGGGGGTGTGGGTGTGCAAGTCTGGGTGTGCACAACCAAAAATTACTCATAAATTCTGGGAGAAACAATTCCAAGGAAGTGAATTGCCACCCTCTCTTTCCTTCCTTTCTCTGCCTCCTCCCCATCATGGTAACCTTAAGCATAAAGAATGAGAGAATTATGTGGGGTTTTTTATTTTATAATTCACTGGGAGCAATATTTGGGATTGAATCCAAGCTGCCTTTGTTTGTTCAATGCTCTGAAATACAGGAAACAACTCCTCAGCTGATGAAAGTTTAGTGCATCTCTTGTGTTCTGAAGATGATGGGCAACTTCCTGAACAAGATAACCATCCTACAGGGCTGCTTTCTACACGAAAAAATACGCCATAAAAGTGATTTTCTAATTAATATTCCTGAGTTTTTAAAGCCATTACTACAGCTTTCATTTTCCTATTTATTTTTACGAACCCCAGTTCTTGATTCCAAGACACTTTGTATGAAACCCTCACACTTCTGAAGGGAAATACTCCATCAGTGGCTTTAACACACCAAGGCCTGACCAAGGCACACAAACCCACAGTGCATATTATACATTTATAAAACCTGGAAAGTTCCAAAGCGAGCTGTTTACCTGTTACTTCCAGTTTTTCACCGATGACTTCAGCTTTCAGGTAGATCCTTCCCCTTTTCTCTGTGTGGTCCATTCCACAGAGGCTGGGGACGTTTATCACACATTGCTTATGAACGTTCATGTCACAGGCTGTGAAGACAAAAAATGGTTCAGACACCCACGAGGAGCCAATAATTACGATCCCACTGCAAACACAGAGGAAAGTGAAAGTTAAGACTAAATGCCTAATTGTTGGCCAGACTTTCAGATCACAGCTGGGTGGTTTTTAACCCAGTGACATGGCTGCATTTTACAGTACAGTCTGCAGGCAGTGAATAAAAGAGAGAATAAAAAAATCTACTTCAGAATCCTAAACATCACAATTAATGATGTGCAAGGGAAAACAAAAGTGAAAATGGAATAAGGACTTGCTGGGAATATGACTAAGAAAACAGAGCATTCGCGTCAGCATCACCAGTGAATGGAGTTTAAATTGATTACTTGATTTTTCTAGCAGGACACTTCCAATACAAATTAAATACAAGGAAAATACTGGACCTTGGCTACAGACTGAACTGAATTTTCAGTCTTTTAAGAGTGTATTCAGGAGGTTTTCTCAAAACTGCCACAGCAAAGGCTCTTCAGCCACATCAAGCTGAACACGCTGTGTTCTCAGCAGCAGAGGTGATTTTCATTAGTAGGTCATTATAGTGCTGAAATATCCACTTGAAATATAACAGGACTATAAATAGCTGACATTTGAAACACTATTTTCCACAGAAATGAATTATGAGGCTGTTACCCAGGGTTTCCACTTACTTTCTGACCCACCCTTTTTGGTACCACAGAAAACCTTCACTTACTGTCACACTTCATCCCTTGGTGCAGGAGCCCATAAAGGAGGGACCCACAGTGGTCACAAAAGGTGGGGCTCCCATAGGTGTGGATCTTAAACTTGTGCTTGCTTCTGGGATCCTGGAGGAAAAAAAACAGACAGATATCCTCAAGTCATAAAAAATACACCTTTAATATATGACTTCAAGTACCAAAAACTTTCCAGCTCTGCAACTTCTGCCGCAGGAAAATACATTTGATTGTGTAGCTTGTTCACAGCCCTCAGTGAGGCACCTGCACTGGCACATTGGCCTCACTTCCTAATTTTCCTTTGCTCTGGTGTTGTAAGAGTGAGTCAGCTCAGAGAGAACACAGCCTTGCTCCATGATTTATCTACACTGAAACTTCACTTACTGACTGCACAAGTACATAAAGTTTAATGACAGTGCTCAGCCCGTGGCTGGAGTGTCACAGAGCGTGTGTCTGTTTGCAGAATGTCCTTGTCACTGTTCTGAAACGGCCACACAAAATACAGCAGGGAAATAACTGTTAATGGGCTATTCTGAAACAGAGGGCTGGAAAATCAGCATCTCACAGAGGGTATCAGCTTGGAACGCTGCAACTTTATAATCTGCATTGTAAATGAAAGGGAACAACTTTTAACTTGGAATGGAGTAAATATTTTAAAGACACTGCTATTCCCATCACGTTTTTGAACAGAGAAACTTATAGCAAGGACATTTTAGCCACCAGCAGCTTGGAAATGTTTCCTAATTTAGGACCAGTGAAAGGGAATACACTCAAATCACTTAAATGTATGACACGTCCAAAGACATTTGCTGTTCCTCTAGGGGTAGAGATCCCCTCTGGAAAACCAAGACACTTATAGAAAAGGAATAAATCACAAACTCAGCATGTTCACCCATGCCAGGCCCACTCCACACACACCAGACTGGAGATGTGCAGTGCTCAAACAAAGGGGGCAACAGCCCTGTCCTGTGCACATCCTCTCTGATACCCATCCTGATATCTCTCGTGGCCATTTCCATCCCAAAATGTATTTTGGTCACAACTAACAGTACCCAATCTTGATCAGGAAGACCAGCAATTCTTCATTAAAAAACATACCGGGGTTTGAAATGAATCCTTGTAACATTCTTTTCAGGAAGATCACAGAAATCATGAAATGCCAGGTCTAAAACATCCTCAGCTAATACTCAGCTGCAAAGTGAGACCTTAAAATGTTTTTTTCTTCTGTTTACATTTTGTATTAATATGCCTTTATATTAGATAAGAACTATTAAACTGTCTTATAAATATACTGATTTTTAAACTTCACCTGCCAATCAAAAGCAAAGCCCAGCATGTAATCCAAGCTGGAAAACCCGAGGGGCTCTTTCTTCAAAAGGCAAAGATTCCTCCAGTAAAAGTGTTTTCTCAAGAAACGTGAGGACTTCTAACATTATTACCATAAAAATGTGACTATGAGGAGGGAAAATATTGGCTTCAAATTTTAATATTTTGCCATCTTGCCCTTTGTGAAGTTTTTTTTTTGTGTTTTGGGAGCAGTCTTCAAGTGAATTCATTCCGGCACTGATTCTGAGTTTTATCATGAACCTATCACCATTATTTTTTCACTGCACAGGAAGAAATTGTACAGCACCCAGGGCAAGAAGTAAAGACTTTACATTAGGAATTCAAATGGAGACTGTTTCAATAGCTCTGCTTGTTACACAGCCCGAGATATGAAATACAAGCTGCTAACAACCGTGTTTATTTAGTAAATAAACCACATGGAGTGACATCCAGGGCTCCAGACAACATCTGGTTCGGTATTTATTGGAGATATAGCAAAGGGCCTCGTGGCACAGGGTCATGGGAACGCTGCTTTACAAAAAGGGTTCTCTGATGGCTCTGGGACTATATGACTGCAAACAATTCAAACCACAGTTGGGAAGCTAATTCTTCCTTAAATTGTTTTGTTTAGGAGACAGGAGGGGACTTGCTGCCTCATGAATATACCCACTTAAGCATAACTCTGGTAAGCACATCTGTGGCTGAGAAGGACAAAAGCTTCCAAGAATGACACTGAATAAACAGAGTTTTTAAGTTGTGTTTAACCTCTGATGTAAGTGGTATTTATGAGCATAAAGTAATGATACGGGGGGGAAGGAACTATGGGAAATTATTGTAGTGAATGTCTATTAAATACATGGAACCTGTATATTCTCCCGAAATTATATCACACTACCAAATAATTTCATTCCAAACAATGGAACATCCATGTAATTAAGTGAAGCAGGGGGGTGTGTGCCTTAAAAATGTTGTGACATGTAAGGACAGCGACGCTGCTGTCACTGCAAAGCAACCCCAGCTCGTGTGCTCCTGTGCCTAATTCAGTGTGACTCCAAAAGCCCAGGAAACAATGAAATAAAACCAGTCACACGGATAAATAAATCAAACTTTGGAGTTGGCCCTGCATGATTCATTATATGGTATTTGAATCATCATTTGCTTTCTATAACAAATGCCTGTTTTCTACCCTTATATGAAAGTCCTTATTGTAGGATGTTTCAGAAGAAAAAATTTATCATGAATTAATTTTTTTAAGGAGCAGCAAATAAGTTCTGCCTATTATTAGTTATTATTCCCTCTGCACCCGTGAAGTCATTCCAGGCAGAGCATAATAAAAACAGGACAATGGAAAACAGTCCCAAAACTACTCCTGAGCTGGAAACTTGGTAGGAAATCTTTCTCAAAATCCCTTTAATACCATCTAAACAGAAGAACCTAAAAAACATTTAAACCCTACAAATAAGAGAGTGCACTCTTCCTCAGTATTTAATCCTATTTTCTGTTTAAATTCTATGCTTTTTGAGGTTTTTTTGGTAAGTTGAAGTACAGAAGACAACTTGATTTTGCCAGCAAGTCTGAGCCCATCAAGAGAAAGCCAAGAGAACACTTCCACCCATCACAGATGATAAAACCTTTTAATCTTATTTTTATATTAACAGGGATTTTTCATGCACTTACAACTACCCTTGAATCTATAGTTTGCATTTTAATTATAAGCAATCATATTAGTAATAATTAGTGCATTGCCAGGACTAATTACTCACATTACCAGCAATTATTTAATTAGTTGTTAACGCTTCCCAGTGTTAAATAAGCATTAAGGGACTTATTTGAATCATAGAGGAAATAGCACCATATTCAGTATTTTTTGGCTAAAGGAAAACTATGGAGCTAAAGGGAAGCTCCTGTAAATTTTCTTCAAATATCCCCTTTTCATCAATGTAAACTTTCAATAATTCCCAAAGCAGAGCTGGCAGTCCCATTTCATAGTAAACACAGGGAGCCAAGCCAGGATATGACAGATGAACTGCCAAATAATGGCTGCTATTTGCAAGAGAACTGAACTTTGCACTAAACTTGGCATAGATTAATTGTGAAACTCTAAAGGGAAAACCCACTTCTGCTTCCAAAATCCGTCAAAATTATGGAGGGGGAAAGTGGCAATGGGAAAGCAACGGGAAGGCACTTGTTCAGCAGTGATGAATGATGGGCTCTATTAAAATTCATGTTATTTTCATGCTAAAAAGTGAATTCTGTGCTATGTTAAGACAATCCCCCATTTCTGTAAGAACAACTGAATGCAATATAGCATAATTAAATGGGAAAGGAAACTGGGCAATCAATATCACTGACATTTAAATATTTGTCTTTGAAAAACCCTTAAACTGGCAAAAATCTGGCCAGTGCTCTGCAATTCCACTGCTTTCCAACAGACTGGGTTTCAGAGCCTGTAATGACATATATGGGTGCAGCATCCCTATAAAGATGAACAGCAACTGGGCATCCACAGCCCACACAGCTCTGAAAAAAAAAAATCAAAATATTATTCATTAGTCTCAAAGCAGAGACAAGATTGCACAGAGTCACAGTGACCAGGAGATGTGGGCTGCTCGAGGTGGAACTACTGCCAGGAAACCAAAAACGGAGCAGAAACCCTTAAAAAAAAAAAAAAAGAAATCATGAGTTTGCAGAAGTGACTCCCCCAGCCAAGCCAGCTCTGGGTGTGCTCTAAGGAGTTCCGGGAGCCGGGCGGGAATCCTGGCAGGGATCCAGGCAGGAATCCAAGCAGGAATCCAGGCAGGAATCCTGCTGCACTCCAGCAGAGGGAAGCAGATGAACACGGAGGCATCTCCCCAACCAACACGTTTGTCCCTCCATCTCCTGCCACCGGGCTCTGCCTTGCCCACTGCAGCAGCTGTGCCACCATCCCTGCTCCTGCCTTTGTTTGGCCCAAACGAATCCATTTCCTTTATTGAAGAGCCATGGAAAGCACCCTCCTGCCAGGAACCATTCCAGCATTTTTTGGGGCTCAAAGCCGGTGGGGGGGGGGGGGCTCTGCAATAATTGAAAGCTCCTGGTTACCCAGCAGCACATGTCAAACTGTGCTTTAGCACATCACAGACCAGCTTGTGAGCAATATATTTCAGAATTCATCCTAAGAGCTCCCTTTTGATTAGGATTTTATTCCCCCTGATAGCAACACTGAACCCGCTATCATTTCGCAGGCGTTAAAATCACCAGGGGGCTTTTGAGTATAAAATACACAAAGCCCCCTTAAAATATCCAAATTGCTTCACTTAGACAAAAGAAAAAAAAGTAATTCCTGAGCCTCAGCAGCATCAGTGGTGGTACTGCTCGTGTTCCTGTTGGAAAGAGGGGTGACCACACATTCCATACATGCAAAACAACATCCAAATTGTTACAAGAGATACCAGCTCACTGTCCCTCCTCACCAACAGCAAAGCCCCAGGAGACTGGCAGGTGTTTTCCTCTCTTTAATACTCAGCCTTCAGACATTTCCTACTGTGGCAGAAACACTGAATCCTACATCTCTCTCCCTGTCCCCTCCTCCAAATGTCTTTAAAGTATGGATTGTAAGGAGCTCTGCTCCAGCAGATCAATGAAACCGCTGCAAGTTGTACCACATGCATTCCACTTAAAATAGGTTTGACTTCCCCAAGCAAATATCAAGTTGATAAAACATATTTAAGAGGAACCAAGCGTGGTTTTCTCTCCACAGAGCCAAATCCCACATTCATCCCACGCTCTCCTCGGGCAAGTTTCTG